AAAACATTTTTATCCCCAGCGTGCGAGGCTGTGTATCGGAAATTCTAAAGATATGCTGTTTTTAAATAATTTGTGATATTGCTGTTAAATTGAATTTTATGTGATTTAATTGCAAATAACATGATATTTAATAAATAAAGGTAACACACAAAACGTTAAAAAAAGCCCATTTGGGCGTAATTATAAAATCTGAAAGCTTTCAGATTATTCTTTTTTTTATTTCATACTTTGTGAAACTTACAAATTTTTTATTAACAAACTATACGATTTGAAAGCGAGCAGTGGCAGCGCCTTTCAAAATAAAGCTGATTTTTACCTTCAGTGCGCGAGACTGTTGCCACTCGGAAAAATGAGTGAGAAAATTAGCGTTGTCAGAGAAGATGATGTTATATATATATATATAAAAAAAAAAAAAAAAAAAAAAAAAAAAAAAAAAAGCAAGAACGTGTACAGATTTTAATAGTACAGCTAGATATTCAATTCTAGATTCTTTGCACCATTTCTATTCAGACGTTCATTGACCATGTTAATCTAATTCTTAATCAACAATATAACGAATTTTGTGAGTAATTTAAATAAAAGATGACACTGTGGAAGAAAAAAAAAAAAAAAAAGTGAAGAACTGTAAAGCAAAGAGGAAGTTATCAAACAGAACAATTGCAAATGGAGCTACAGAGATACGGGGGGGGGGTAGTTGAGGAAGCCTAAAAGCGTTTTACACCCTTAGAACTAGATTTGAAGAGAAAAGAACCAGATGCTTATTTTGAAAAAAGAAAGGGGGGACCGTGAATGAGGATGCATCATGTAATTGTTTTATGGGTGTTTTCAGAAAACGAGCTATGTCAAAAACATTTGCTTGACCTACATTTCTGCTGCTAAATGAGAAAATATTTAAATGGTAAATTTCTATTGTTCATTTCGACGCTTACTTCATACCTTCTTGATGAGGAATTTTCCAACTGAAAATTTCATTTTAAAGTTGTATTTCAAAATGAATGGACAAGATTAATGAAGATTATGTCGCTTATTCATATTCTTTGTATTGTTTAATTGAGCGTACACGTGAATTTAAGAATGAATGTACAAAACATAAATTATTCATGAAATAAAATAAAAGCAATAGCAAAAAAAAAAAAAAAAAAAAAAAAAAAAAAAAAAAAAAAAAAAAAAAAAACAAAAAAAAAACTGAATTTCCTCTTCTTAATAAGCATATGCATTATTTTTTATTAAAAAAAACATTTTATACAACATGCACACATTTAAAAAGTGCACGTTAAAAATGCAAAATACTTTAGTACTTAATTACTCAGAAATGAAATAGGTAGCTAGTTACTATTTTTTTTTAAAGCTGAGTTAAATAGTTTAAAATCCAGTTCCTCTTTTCCTAATTTCTTTTTTTAAAGAAGATGCCTACCAGCGGCCGAGTGTTAAAGTCGCTGAACACTGGTAGTTAGGTCCAGGGTCGAATCCCTGGTTGCATGGGCATTTTCGTGGTTTTCCCCCCATGTGTAAAGTGTATATAGTAAGCCAAATTCCCTTAGAAAGTCCTCTACGAAGGTATCTTCCCCTTAGGCAGATGGCCCTGGAATGCTTTGCCATAATCAAATAAATGAACCAATTTTAAAAGATGTGTTCATTCTTTATAACACTTGTGATCGATCCTGTCCGTTGGAACCAATATGTTTCAAATTCGGTTCTATTAGCTTCTAACTAACGAAAGCTGATTTCGATCTTTATTTTTGAAAAATGAAGAATACTATGTATGAAAAAAGATACGAAGACGTCATAAAGACAATCCAATAATAGCACGGTAACTAATATTTGGAGCGTTTACTAAAGGTGGATTTATGGTTATAAGATAGTTTGGTTTGTTTGAGGCAAACCACTCGATGGCTATCTGGCCAAGGAAAGAGATGCCACACAAGGAGAAAAACACGAAAACGTTTATGCTGGCAGCTCGTTCGCCAGGATATAACTACCAGCGGTCAGAGATTTTACTGCTCTGCTGCTGGCGGGTCTATTGTCATAAGATGACGGTTTCATTATAGCAAAACATGAGACGATTATCTGTCTACATCATCATAAGAAATGAATCGAAGTTGCTTTAATTAATTTAATTAATTACGTTTAAAATGTTGAGTAACTAAGCTTGTAAGTGGAAAAACAAGCATATGAAACTGAACATTTTGAACTTTCTAAATCCTAGAATTTCTACTTTGAGAATAATGTATGTTGATGAAGAACCACGAAAGACTTGCAGTTTATTCCGTACCTAGGTATTAACCAGGTTGCATTAAAGATTAAGAAGAAATTAGCTATTTATTACTATACTATATTTAACTACTTATTTGATATCACAGATTATATTTTGCAAAGTTTTCAGTCACTTATCTCTGTTACGCATTATTGTTTTCCAAAATTTATTTAGATTTGTTTATTTTAATTTTGTGAAAAAAAATTAAGGATTAAAAAAATAAGGATATTTTTTTAAGGATAAAGCATACTTTTTAAAGATTATTTTATTTCTATACTTAGGTGGGGGAAAAGTGCTAGTGTGCATTTCGCAAGTGTTGAGGCCGAGCCATTTTAGTTTTTGTATCATATTCGTAGAATTCAGAGGATTTTCCTCTTAGTTTTGCTTACTTGCAAATGGATATCATTACTTTATTGTAAATATCACTAAAGATGTTAATGTAATAACTCTTTCTGTTTAAACGCAAATATCCTATTAACTTTTTTAACATGTTTATTACTTGGAATACAACAATTCAAAGACCTGGATGTTTTCGATAAGGTGAAATTTATGATTTTATATAACGTGATTGATGAAAAAAATCTCAAATTCAAATATGTTGAACATTTTAAACATTAAGTGTCAGATTTATTAACCCTTTTTTTCTCCCAATAAATAGTATACATTATCTGATCCATTACTGGTTCTGAAAATCAAGGATCAGTAATCAATAAATGATGCGGAAATGCAATGTATAGCACGGCGGCCCGTGTAGTAATAAACAATAGTACCATTTTTAAAATCGTTTTCCAAATCGAAATAAAGTCTTGCTATGACAAACTAAACTAAGCTCAGTGGCGTAACAGCCCTATAATGGGCCAATGTCTGCAATGCCCCGAAATCTGCTTTCTTGATTGTGGGCCCCGGGATGCGTATGCATATGCCCTAAACAAGTGGTCAGCTTGGTCGCAGGACCCCCAGTGTTTAGTCCCCAAGCGAACTTGGTACTCATTTTATCGACCCAAAGGGTGGAAATCAAGGGATGAAAGGCTGAGTCGACCTTGTCCAGCCCGGGGATCGAACCCCGGACCTATGGTGCTGAGCTATGCGCTAGCCACTGCGCTACCGGGCCTCCTTGTTATGACAATAACCATAAATTTTATTTTTTAGCGCAAAGGGGCAGAAAGCCTATTAATTTCATTTTGGTATTTTGCATAGTTCACCATAAAATGGTGTTTCGCTTTTCAAATTGTTGCCACCAAATATCAGAGCCCTGCATTATTAAGTTAAATAATGAAGAATCTGAATGTATGTATGTTTCTCGCACTGGGAAAAAAACAACGGTAATTAGAAACATCAAATTTTGAATAATGAAGTCCTCCACTCGAATATGGGCATCTGAAAGACCCAAATTTGGAATTTGTTTTATTATCTATTTAATATTCTGTAAAACTTAAACGAATTTTTTATTAACAAACTCAACAAATTCGAAGCGAGCAATGGCAACACTGAACAACAACAACAACAACAAAAAAAAAAAAAAAAAAAAAAAAAAAAACATTGTTATCTTCAGTGCGTGAGATTGTGTATCGAAGATTCTAAAGATATGCTGTTTTTAAATATTTTGTGACATTGCTGTTGAATAGAATTTTATGTGGTTTAAATGCGAAGAATGTGATATTTAATAAGTAAAGGTGACACACAAAAGGTTACAAAAATGCCCCTTTTTGCCTAATGTAAAATCTGGAAGCTTTCAGATTTCTTTTTCACAAGATTTTTCTTTTTTTGGAGGGGGAGGAGAGACGGGAATTCCGGATAAAAATAATTTTCATCCTACCATGAAAATAAAACTATTGCATTCTTCCAAGAAAGAGGCATTTTACCCTCCTCCCAAGTTTGCAAAAATGAGCATGAATACAAGCTTTTTTTAGTAGGAGTTTTATATTTTTGAATGTAAATTGTAATAGTTTTTTTAAAAAAACATTTACGTTAAAATTCCATTATTAACTGCGCTGTCTGGGATAGGTGAGAGAAATGCCATTTGAACTTGGGGATGTTTTTCCTTGGCGCTTTGATCGCTGTTATAACCAATAGTTAGTTATAAATACAATTAATCGTCTCATGGCGACAACTCCGTGATATGATTGCCTATAAAAATGACAATATTTCTGAAATCAATAAATAATATCGTTATTGAATTTATCTTAATATAATACTATCATATCCGTAGAACAGAAAACCATGTGAGATTGTGGATGGCAATCCCAAGAGAGAGTTCGATGGATCTACTTATAGCTATAGATAAATCTAACTGCGATTTATCGAATGTTCTGCGTTATAATATGCGGCTCTTATTAATGTAAAATTTGGCCATCTCTAGTCTAGACTAACAAATCATTAGATTCAGACTAACAAATCATTAGATTCAGACTAACTGGTAGGCATTAATCAAGCAAAAGTATTAAATCATTTTCTTTGTGCTAAATGATGAACAAATGTTTTTGCTTTCTAAATGATTTTTTTTTAGTAAAGTTAAGTTTAGAGTAAAGTTAAATTGTACCATTTATTAAATTATCACGTTGTTTAAGCTGTATTGTTCGTGATCTCTTGTTTTAATGGCTCATTGACTTTCCACAGTTCCTAAGAGCTTTATAAGTTTTCCACACCCTCTGTTTTACGCTCCCGTTCGCAATCTAATTTTATTTTCGTTGTGATTCTCCCTGCGAAATGTGCCACTGAATTGTAAATGAATCTATTTTCATCACAGGTTCCGTTTGGACACGAAAAGAGGACTTCTGTGTGACGATTCGACACGATTTAGAAATGCTCGATTCCGTGTGATTTCGACCTATACGAAGAACAAGTAAGACAAACATTTTCTTTTTCATTTACGTAAGATTAGGGTTCCGGTTGAAATGATTCATTTCAACACGAATTATGCTACTATGTTTCAATATTGTCAAGCAAGTGTTACAGTATACCATAGATTGTCCTTATCATAGCTTTTATACATTGATTTTTAAATTTTGATTGATTATTCGGCATCTTTCTTATGTAATCAGGCTTTCTTTACGGCATAAGACCAAAAGGCCTGTATCTCCGACCCTATATGTCAACAGTTGCTAAATTATGCAATAATTGCTCCAAATGTTAATTTTCTGGATAAAAATCGGAATATATGGAATTTTTGAGGGGAGGGGGGACCGAGCTTAAAGTCACTGACTATCTCAATCAGGCCCTCTGTTACGATTTTAAGGGAAAATATTTTTTCTTAAAATTAAATTTAATGTTAATGCATAAATATTTCTTTTACGTCTGTGAGAGAGGTTGCCAAGTTCCTTCATAAGATCACGTTAACTTCAAGATACTAAGAAGGTCAGATCTTACAACTTCTGCTCGGAAAACCATATTTTTTTCCAAATACTTAAATTCTAAGCATTGACCAGCCAGTAATTTTGTCACTACAAAATTCCATGCGAATAAATAAGCTGTAGGAAATTAATTGCATGAGTTTGAGTCCAACATTCACTCTTCTGAGTTTATTTTATATAGTCTGAGAATCTCTTTTCCTGAAAAGATGTTCATAATCACGATGGTATCTTTCTTTTCGAGAAACACAAAACGGGAGAGTACTCTTTACAGTTATAAATGTAAATGTCTTACGTTGTAAATGTGTGAGTCTAAAGAACATCGGGAAAGCACGATAGGCATTACCTAATTTAGGTTTTACTGGTGTTTCAAAAGAATTTCTAAGACTATATGGGCTGATGTCAGTTCCAATGGCCTTTATGATTTACGTATTTAGAACGTCAGTACTAATACTAAAGTACATCAAGAGGTTACTTCATGGAGCTATTCTTTTATGGTTTACGTTTCCTATGTGATAATGTCAAATGTTTTCAAGTAAAGACAAAAAATACATAGCATAGAAATATTAAACATTCACCATTTTTACCAAGATCCTCGTGTACAAACATGATGCATTATCAATGCGGTCGTATGCTGCCTCCGTCAACGATCATTTGAAAATCGCTGCCACATCACTCACTGCTCTGTCCTTCCTTGGTTGTTAGTAGTAAATGCTACCATGCAGGTTACAATAAGAAGCTGTTTACAGAATCAGATCACGACTCTGAGGATTAAAACTTTCTTAAGCGATTACGAAGTTATTAAGTGTGTAGGTTTTGAAATCCGTAACTATGTTTAATCCAAAGGGGCTGTTATTTAACCCAAATAAGCTATGTTGTGTTTATAACATTCTTCGTTTTTAAGCATCTTTTACTTTCTGTATTCTTTAGTATTTTATGGCATGTTCATAACAATATAATCTCTATTCATCGTTTTCAATGGCACTGAAGATTTAGATTTTGTTAGAATAACCGTAAATACCTATAACCAGTTTATCAAAATGAAAAGCTTATTTGAAAACTTTTACTGTGCGTTGCGAATTTTATTAAACTAATAAACGTATGAAGTGTAAATACTAGGAGTTGAAATTTTAAATACCGGTAATTTAGAAGAAGTAGACATATTCAAAAACTGTGAAATTTGTCTAAGATAGTTCAGTGAAACTATGTTATTCGATTTAAATTACGTTTATTTGGAAAATGAATGGAAAATGACTGGAAAATGAATTAATTATAATTTAGAAATCATTATTATATTATAGCTTTTCCCCTCATTCATCTCAATAATTATTTTAAATACCATTTCCCTTTCAGGAAGAATTTTAAAGTGTCGACTTCCAGTAGTATAATATAATAAATGATTTATAACTTTAAAAACTAAATTTTTCGATTTACAACGTAAAACATAATTATTAAAAAATATTACAGGTTTAGACAGACACAATGAAATCATTTGTATGTTAAATAATTTATTATTCATTACGTATTCTGGGTTTCAATTTCAATCAAATGTTTAAATAAATGGTAAATTATGGTGGCAACCTATTTACTGGTATGGTTCAGAATTCAGTACTCAACTTATGGTTCAGAATGACTAACAGATAACTTGTCCCTGAAACTCGATTAGTCTTGCAAACATTTTAAATAGTAGTCTTGAAAAGGCAGATCAGTATTATCAAATGATAAACAGGATTTAAAATTAAAATCTTTAGAGATTGAAAATTTCGAAAATATTTGTAGGTTCATAAGTTAATATATAGATTTTCTTTCTTTTCTTTTCGCCATCGACAGAACAGTTGGTCTGCTGCTAGGTGTTCATTAATCTGTTGGATTTGATAGTATTTTAACTGCATGTCTTGTTGCATGAAATCAAAGCTAGTGACTTCAGTAATTATTCCTTATTAGCTTACTAGCGACCCAGTCGCTAAACACTATTAGTCCGTGTTCAGATAGATCTCTACGAAACACTGACTGCATAGGCGTTTTGCATTTCCCCTTATGTAATGTAGATACGAGTCTTTTCCTGATGAAATCTCCATCGAAGGATCCCTTCCAATAGGCAGACAACCCTCGATTTGCTTTCTCTTAATAGATTATCTAACTTAATATACTCCTTAGCTATTTTGAGGGAAGAAATTATGTCTATTTCAGATATTTAAAGATTGACTTTTAATACAAATACTGACAAAAATCTTCTAGCGCGTCGAACAGCAGCACCACAGGTTTCGGGTTCGATCCCCGCGCTGGGCAAGGTTGACTTGACTCAGCCTTTCATCCCGTGAGTGGGTCGATAAAATGAGTACTAAGTTCGCTTGGGCACTAAACATCGGGGGTCCTGCGATAGCTGGAATCTGACGACTTGTCCAGGGTAGATGACGACTTGTCCAGGATAGATGCTCATGCACCCTGGAGTCCACGGTCTAGAAAGCAGATATCAGAGCACTGCCGGCCATGGTTTAGTTTTAGACAAAAACCTCCGAATATTTGAAACACTCAAAAATCACCTTTCTGGTGACTTTTCATCAACTGTGATTCAATTTTATTTAAGGGCATCTGAGTCTAGTATCGCCAAGCATATGCAACTAAAATTAGGGAAAATTCAATTTTGCTTCTATTATATTATAACTGTGTTATTTAAAACTACCAACTACATTCGAGAAGTATTTTAAGATAAACAACTAAAACGGAACTTAAGCCTATACATGATGTCTAAATATAATATGTAAAGATTCCAAAAATTATAATAGTCAAACAATGATGAAGTACGATGTGCCATCAGTATGAACCGCAAGGAGAGTCTTCCTTTTTGGAGAACAGGATTGCGTTAAATATTTAATTTGTTTCAGGGATAGAAGATGTTTTCTATCTTATCTACACTAATGATTATGGGATCATAATCAGAATTGAAAAAATGTAAAATAGTCCTTGATGGTGGATATCTTGCACAATTACGTGTGGGACTCATGACGGCTTATTTTCCATGTGATTAACCCTTTGCGGCACAGTGTGTCCGGTCTGGACACACCTAAAAATTTCCTGTACGCACAGAAAAATTGAATGAAAACGGATTTATAGGTTATTATAGGTTACTCTGAACCTTCTTTAGTTATAGTAGAACTAAAGAAGTCCATATATTTTAGCCATGCTTAGTTTTTTAAATCCCTCATTTTTCAAAGAAATCTTCCAGATTTTTTAGGGTGTAAAAGGAATTGTTTGAAGAGAAATTTCTATGTTATTTTTTTGGCTGTATGCTAATCTCCTTATTCTATATTAGTTTTAAATTTTTACCTTGAAATGTTGCCTAAAATCAAACGGCGAACCCTAGATGTGCCCAGACCGGGCTCACCGATAATCTAGGACAACTGAGAGTCTGTATTCTTTGTTTCTCCGCATCGGTCTTTCATTGAAAACAATGCTCGTTTCAGCACTCTTTTCGAAGTTCTATTCAATCAGTGTGCCACTTTGGGCACACCCACAGAATTAAAACGATAAGTGCTATCTTCACGAAATTTTACTTGTGTTCTTCTCTAAGCCTAATTAGACTGCCTACCTTTTTTTTAAATCAGAACTCCGACTTTAAAAGGTAGCGTGACGGAAAGGGTTAAATGGTTTTCAGTGCAGGGAAGTGATTGTGATAGTTACTGTCAATTATGGTACAATACCTTTTCTTGGAAAGAAAGTTGCTCTAAATATTTATTCTCCTCTACCTGGGCAGTAAAAACTCGCGATGGAGCTTGAAACTGCGACATTCCTGCCAAATTCGCGTGAACTCATTTCAATAAAAGTATCTAAACGTGTTTAGAGATTTGCAACAGTTTGAAGACTCGCAAGTGAGCAGCAAAGCCTAGAAATAAAGGAAATAAATATATAAAATGTATAAATATATAATAGATACATAAAATTTGGCTGTGCCATAAACATGTAAAACCATACATGTACATACGAGTCTAGTTTATCATTTTTTCCCATATAATGTTTACAAGTCTGCTGGAAAAGTATTTTTGATGTCTATTGTTAATAATGCATATAAATCTGCAATGTTTTGTAATACACAATAACACAGAAAATCGGGAGCTTTTGAAAACCAATCAAACATACAAGAAATCAGATTTAAAAAAAAAAAAATGTGTTGACGGAAATTGAATCTTTACAGCTTGCCATCTCAGATATAGTAATCGAGGTCCTCATTGATGTCTGCAGTATATCAGGTGAAATGGTGTAAATTTCATCTTAACTTCATACTACTTCCTTTCATCTCTTATTTTTCGTCAAGACGTAGTTAAATATAGGTGGAGAATTCGGCGAACACGCTCTAGACTACCTGACCGCAGCTGTTTGTTTCCTTTGGCTGTATAAAGCTGTTTCACAAAAAGCCTCAATACTCTGAAAAGAGTAAACATTTTATTGTCGTTCTCCTTTTATTCTTCATAGCCAATCCAGTCTCTTTTTATTTAAGTTTTTTATCCATGATACCCTAAGCTGAAAACGTTTGAGCTAACTCTCCACAACTTGCATACTATCATTGTTTTCGTAAAGCATTTTAATGGCGAAAGCACTATGTTGATAGTTCCACTGTTCCATGATCACTTTTTTTTTTAAATGGTCAGGTTGCCTGTTGCTATACCGCTATGCAGTGCTGCCACATATCTAGTGTTGCCTGCTACACTTTTAAAAAAATCCCAGCTTCTGTGTCACCCTGCATATAAGACAATATTTGATGTAGGTATTAAAAGACGGATGATTTGCCTTGTGAGTGGAAGACGTATGAGACGGTAGTCCATACAGTACAGTGTCACAAATATATCTTCGCTCATGATTTTCTTAATAACATTCCTTACCACTCTAGCTTGCGTTTATTGTATGAATATAGTATATAACAAATACAGCACGTGAAGCTTGTGCTCATCAACTCATTATAGGTAATTAAGTGTATGTTATTAATAATTAAGTTTCAGGAAGTTAGCAATTACAATAGAATTTTTCTCAGCTGAACGGGTCGTCGCGCCTAACCCTACGCATTCATCAAAGGACAATTACATTCCCATAACATAGAACTTTAAATACCTCCTAGTTCATCACATTCTCTACAAAACCAAACGAGCCATAAACTATTCGGTTTTTGTATGTGGTTAACTTGAACGGCAAGCGGAAACAATTCGGTGTGCTTTTTATATTTATTTCTCTTCAGTAATTTTTACGGAGGTAAAAATAAACAAACAATATATCGGAACACAAATAAAAATCGGCGCAGATAAGCTCTGTCAACAGAGCATGACCGACTGCTTTAATTTCGGTAGAAAGAGTAATAGGGAAAACACGTAACGAAAGCGTGTAGAACAGCACCTTTGTGGTTTCAATTCAACGTTTTTATCAGTAGGGGTCTTTAATCGTTTGATAAATTAATTGCCTTTATTCGCATGCATTTAAAGTACACTATACGTTAATGTTCAATTGTTTTATTTACTTCAGAGCTATCAGCTACCTTTATTAATACATAAAAGCAATTATACTACTAATTACATGTCATTTTTCAATGCAGAAAAACCTTACAAAGTTTGCTTCATTTTTCAGTTTTATAATCGAAAAATCTCAAGTGTATCCTAGTTGTAAAGAAAGCGCATGCTCCTTGAAAATTCACCTCGATTTTTTTATAATGAGAAATATTTATTAGACTGCATTTAAAAAAAAATAATTTTTAATAACGAAGAACAGCAATTACTGTATGCATATAATGCGTACACCTTACCCCCCCCAAAAAAGTTCTATATCTTCCGTTCTACTAGGCCGATAGGCAAAATTTAACTTGCGTTTTTCATGGCTCGAAAGCGCGACTTAGGATATACATTATATTTATTTATAAGATTTTTCTAACATAGGTATTTTGACACAAAATAGGACGTTTTTTAAATGTGTTACCTAATTTTTTCCGTACTTCGATTCTACGACTCAAATTACGCCTAAATATTAAATTTTGTAAAATTTGGTGGGAAAATTTTAAAATTTATCTTGGCGCACTTATTACAGTTTGCACCAAGAATAAGTCACTTGTCGAAATTCTTAATTTATGGTAACCAATTTTCATTACCCTTTCATTGCGCACATGCGGGATAAAACGTGTATCGTTCATTTTTTTAAATAATTTTAACAAAGCTCGCAAACCATATTTGGCGTGATTATCACTTGTAACAAATATGCCAAATTTTAAAACGTGCCAGTATATAAATTGACGTATATCTTTGGAACTTTTGAATAAAAAATTCTAATCTTTTGCACATATGGCTAGAAATACATCTATTTTAAGAAGATGACAAAAGCTTCGTTTATAATTCAAAAGATTTTTCTAAAAATTTATAAAAATTACTAAAAAATATAAGTTTTATAAGCAAATCAGAAGATTGCTTCGAATTTTATTTGGATTGAACCTAAATTTCAAATTGTGAAAGAAGGAATGAAGTAAGTTTAATAAAAATGATATATTAATAAATATATAACAAATTCAATTAAGATTTAGGAATTAAATTTTGAGAGCTAATTTTTTAAAAACTACTCTTGCGATTTTTACAAAACTTGCCATTTTGGCATAATTAGAGTCGTAAAATCGAAATATGAAAAAAAAAAAAATATGTATGTCATTTTAGAAAAAAAATCCAGTTTTGTGTCAAAATGCCTATATGCTACATATAAATCTAATATATATCCTAAGTCGCATTTTCGAGGGATTAAATCGCAAGTTAAATTTCGTCAATCAGCTCAGTAGAAGGGAAGACATATAACTGTGTCTCCCTTTATTTGTGCTAGGTGTACATTAGATAGGAATTTGAATACTTTCGAACTATAACAGTCGAGGTTTATTATTGCAATTGAAACTTGCTGAAAATCACTATTTCACTTTTTTTCTTAAACAAAAGTGATCCCCTATTGGCATTTAATAAAAGTTCATCTTGATTACATAAATGAAAGAAGGTAACATTCATAGATTCGTAATGTTCCACTTAAGGCTTTCTAGAAATGGGAACAAAAAAATCGTACCACTTTAAAGCTTTTTATTTCCTTCTTCTGGTTAGGAACACCAAAAATCACCCTGCTTCAAACGTTTTTATCATTGCAGTAGCATTCTTTAATAAATAACTGAAAAACAATTATTTATTTAACGTTCTCTGTTCCCAAAAGTTATTTGCTTTTATTAAAGGTGCAGAATTCTGAAAAATTTTTAGTTGTGATTATCATCTAAAAGTGGATGTGTTCTTATCTCAAGAAAGCACTCAATTGGAATCAAACAAAAAAAAATCATGTTTACTGTGTAGAGACATTATATTATTTTGAAGCAGAAAACATGGAAAATGAGCAATGCCCTCGTAGGGACTTGAACGACGGACTTCTCGAATTCGCGTCGAGCGTGTTGACCACTACACCACGAAGGCATGCTAAGAAGGCGGGAGAAATACCTTGTAGAGACTTTAGGATTTTTTTTGGAGGCCGGAGAGATGAAAAATGAGCAATCGGCTTCGCCGGGAATCGAAACACGGACCTCTGGAATACCAGCCCAACGTGCAGAACCACTACACCACGAAAGCGGGAGAAATACCTTATAATCTTATATACTTCCCCTTTCAAAGGGGGTGTTAGGGGACCCAATCGCCAAATCTTGGTGGTGAAGAATTACCATTCTCCACCTTTTAGTTCGGGCGCCACTGCAGAGACATTAGGTTATTTCGAAGCAGGAGGAATGAAAAATGAGCAACGCCTTCGTCGGCAATCGAACCACGGGCCTCTCGAATACGCACTGAGCGTGCTGACCACTACACTACGAAGGCGGGAGAAATACCTTATATATTCCCCCCCTTTTTTTTTAAAAGGCCACTGGGATTTTAGGGTACCCAGTCGCCAAATCCTGGTGGTGAAGATTCATCATTTACCACCTTTTAGTTCTGTCATCACTGTTGAGACATTAGGTTATTTTGAAGCGGGAGACATGAAAAATGAGCAATGCCCTTGCTGGGACTCGAACCACGGACCTCTCGAATTTGCGTCGAGCGTGCTGACATTAAGAACATTAAGAACGCATGCTAAGAAGGCGAAAGAAATACCTTATAACTGTATTAGGCGTCACTATCAGAAATGTTAATATTATGCATCAAAATTATCTGAAAACGAAGTTTAAGGTTAGGATTGTGGTGTTATTCCATACACGTTTTGAAGTCATGTAACCTTAATGGCATTTTCGGATTTAGTGTTTGAAAGGGCTAAAATGGGACAATTTTCATAAACATTTGATCTGGGAAAGTCTGGAATAGGACATAACCGTATAGATTATACATAGTTACTCACCAGTTTAGAAATTCATGAAAAATAAACAGCGCAACCGATACCAAGTTATTTTTAAGGCAATTATAATGCAAGCCGAAGTTTACAATGTTATCTGAGTTAGCGAAACCTAGTAACATGGCCAGGAGAGGCAGAAACACACGCCCTGTCTTACAATAAACAAACACACCTTAAATACACTTAACTTAATTTGCATTCTGCTGGGGAAACGGAAGGGAGAAGTGACAGTAAAGATCTAAATCATAATAATTGGTTAAATTAACATAATGTAACATTACAACCTTAGCGACAAATTTTGACTAGGATATTCTTTGAAATGCTCCCTGATTTTGTAGCAGATTTTGATTTAGAGATTCTAACAAATATCCTTTGTGGAGGTGGCTCGAGCATATGTCTTGTTAAAGGAGGTGTCCGCCACCTTTTCATTCAACTCTGGCATCGACCAACTCTACAATATATCCAAGTAAATTCTTCCAGTGACACGTAAGTACCTGCCATATCAACAAAACTAAAGACAATCTTGGGTAATAAATTTAGTATCGGTTGCATAGTTTGTTTTGAATTTTTAAAATGTTTCATAGGCTTATTAATAACCTTAAATAATATGTAGGTAGCACAATATATAACTACAACGTGTAAACATATATAGATTTTACACAGTGTTATATGTATTTGTTACCATATAATTTTATAATGACAAAATGTTTTATTTTTGACATAGATGATAATGTACTGAGAGAAGAATTACGAGAAAATTCTGCAGTCATAAGTGCATCATATGATCGTTAGAGCTATCTTTCTTTAATATTGATGAATATTAACGTACAAATTTGAGGTAATCCAATAATTTAAATATATTTATTTACAGAAGTTTATGCACAGCAGTAAAAATAAGACACGTATATAAAACAGCTTATTTAAACTTACAAACATTTCCTTTAGAATATATATGAAAACTAGTTGCCAAATTCTAAAACGTTACAATTTGAAATGAAATAATAAATACAGAAAACGATTCTTAACAAATATTACTCTTGATATAAATCTTAATAAAATCTATAAGTATCAAAATGGCATCTATAAGTATCAAAATATAATAAACCATTTCAGAAAGTGATCAATATTTGTGAGAACATATATAAATATAGGTATTGAACATTACGTCTCCAAAACGAGCATCTTTACAGAACGGAAGATTAGATCCGTCTGTAAGGCTATAGAGAAGGGTTACTATATGTACTGAGAATTGCTCTTTACTTATAAATATCTAATTTGTTACACTGATAAGCGATATACTGCCATTATTTAGAAAATAAAGAACATTAATACGTTATTTGCAGTTTAAATCTTAAAATTTATTAAACTAATACATCATCAAACAGTATATCTAAAATAAGCCAAGAAAAGTCGTATTGTCTTTTTATTAGTATTTCTTTTCTCCGGCAAATCTTTTTGAAAAAGGTGCAGTTTTCCGCACACCAAGCAAATAACAATAAATTCATGGATTTTATTTAAAATAATTTTCTTAATCTGAGAGCTAGTGAAATAAAATAAATAAAAGTAAGTCAGTCACCCTTAGGCTTCGAGGAACCGGAAAAAGATTTTAGGCAGCGAATGTGTCAGAATTATTTTATACTTTCATATTGCAAACTAAAAGTTAAATTGCGACGGTTATTTTGCTCTGAAGAACAATATAATTTACATGCTGCAGTTATATGTGACATCTTTTTTAAGAGGTGAACTACATAAAACGTGAAGTTTATTTTCAGTTCCGAAACGATGTGACCCAAAAGGTCGCGTTTCTCTTGAAAATGCGTTCTTTTTAGATGACGGAAAAAGAGCCACGACCAAGCTTTCATTATCCAAGGTGAACGGATTCACTTAAATATTCTCCTGATTTTTTTTTTTTTTTTTTTTTTTGGTTTAAAAAAAAGAGAGAGAGAGAAAGAACAGAAAAAAAAATATGATCTTTGCAACGTAAGAGAAAATAACAATGAATGATGTTTGATGTTTTTCTGTCTAAAATGCTGGCTTTTATTAATCTTCGATAATTATCTGCTTTTGATATAAGATCGAATTCACAAGTGAGCATTCCGAATGTGAGTAGGTATAGACTGATTATGCGTTGAGTTCTCTCTAAGAGCATCACCCCCCTTCCTCCAGTCTGGAGCCTCTTAAGTCTTCTGTGGAAGTGGTGAACTTAAAGATGATTGTGTGTTGGTGATTATTTCATTTGCATAGTGGATTTACCCAATTCAAAGCTTTTAAAACCTGCTAAAGAGAAATACTAGAGTAGAAATATGTTGCGTCAGTTTATTAATATCATCATATTAATAAAATTTCAAATAATTACTGAAATAAATAGTGAATATTCAAGTAGAAATAAATAAATAAGTAAATAAATAGCCGATAACTCTATATCCACTTTTCAGAAACACTAAGAATAAGTAATATTTTAAAAACATGGATGATACATCTTATGGAAAGGGCTTTCAGTGCTTGATTGGTAATGCTGTCAAAAACCTGTCGCTTTTTTTAATGTTAAGGTTTTTCTTCTAATTTCTCTTGGAGAGGCTGATGAGATGATGCTTTTAATATTTCTATTTTTAATGCTGGAGTTTTCGTCATGCTCAATATTTTCAGAGGAGCTAGGCTTGAAAATTTCTGCGAATTCTGCGGCCATAATGTTGCTATTTCTTTTTTGGTCTGATAGGTCCTTCTCGTGTGATTAATGGGGCCGATATGATTGGTCCGTTTCTTTCTAAGGGAATTCGCAATCTTCCAAATTGTGTTAAGTTGAATTTCCATATTTCCTAGAAAGTAATCCTATCTTTTGGAGAGATAATTTTGTATTTCGTAGGAAATCTTCCTAATTAAATAATAAACTTTTTTTTTTATAATGGGGGCTTTGGTGTTTTTCCATTTCCCTGAGATAGTTTCTGTCTTTAATTAAATCACGGATGTAGATTCGAAGACTTAATGGTATATAGTCTTCAGATCTACATACCACTTAGACTCTCAGTCTACCAGTTGACTTTCCATGGCTAAAATGTGTAGGAAAATTCGCATACTAGGTGGTACTTCACTTGTACCTCTGTATTACTTCTCATGTATTTAATTGCTGAAGGATGCCTTACTTGCTGAAATGATGTGATAAAAGCAATGACTTAATACTTCCTAAACAAATATTATAGCCTTTTATAAAGCTTATTAAGTAAATCAGCTGTTTTTAGTAATTTATTCTAAGGTTTTGATACTAAATTTGCATCGAAACATTATTCGCTAACAGAATTTTTATTTCGATAAAAGCGACTTAGAAAATAAAATGGAGACTTTTCAGACACACAATAATAACTTCTCCATTGTTCATTTTCCCTTCTATTTTATGAGTTTAGAAATTAAGGCATTTTTAGTTAATTCTTCATTAAAAAAAACGAAGATAATTTTAAGTAAATATCATGTCCACTGGAGATTCATTTTCATAAATTATATGACAGAAACGTTTATTAATTCAATTTAGACGTGCATGATTAGAGAATAATAAAAATGTGTACGATTAAAGAATAATAAAAATATGTATGAAGATAAAGATACTTAAAAATGATATATTAAATATATTTTTTTCTTTGCTTTCAGAAGCATTCTAAATTTGAGTGTACTATCATGGACAAACAAGGAATTAAAACTCCGGATGGACTATTGGCCTATCACGGAAGACCCTCGCTTTTCTACCCAGCGGTTCGAGCCGAAAGTGAAGATGAAGTTGTGTCATACAGTGGCTTTCCAACTCGACTGGCGAGTGGTTTAGGTACAGCTAAGTTCCTATGTGGAGCATGTTTAGCTCTTTTGGGCGGAATGGCAGTCTACGTACAAGCCTGGTCCGCATGGATGTATGGTGGCATCTGGAGTGGACTTTTTGCCATTTTTACTGGTCTCTGTATAATTTTAACTGCTCGAAAGCAGAAGCCACAGAGAAAATCTCTCTTGGTGGCGTTACTTATCCTGTCCGTATTAGGATTCTTCAATACAGGACTTTTAGCAACATTTACAGCCATGGGGCTTGTTGCCGAAGTTTACATGGAAGATGTCGCAGGAGCCTTAGTATGGCGTGGCGTTGAAAATGCATCGCCATTTGTTGTACAGTTAATGCTGTTGGCTACAGCTACTGCAGACAGTCTTTTATCTCTGGCTTGTTGTGTCATCAGCGGTCGCGAAGTCTGCTGCTGTGGGCGCCCAACACCTGCTCTTCTGAACACTCAAAGAAGAGATCGCTTGATTAGTTGGTTGGGTTCTCAACAAGAACCACTGCCTCAACAGAAAGTACTAAACCTTCCTCCTGTAAGGTTAGTACCTTCAGTTCGTCAGCAGCGACACAGTAGACCAAAGACACCATCAACTCTGCGAGTATTTCCAGTTTCTGCTCCAGATACTAATGGATCATTACCATCATCAAGTGGCGGCACATCAACCAAACTTAACATGCCTTTAGTAAAAGCAGATGAATTAGGAAAGCATTCTGCAGCTATGTCTAGAAGACGTGGGGATAGGCTTGATAACAGAGGGCGTCATCGCTCTTACTCAGAACGAGGGCCATCTTCTCACAGAAATCGAAGGATATCGGAACCAAATGACGTAAATGATGCTAGGAAAAATGCATCAACTCTCAATGAAAAATACTTCGCTCTTGACAAAAAGCTTTCAGAAGATTTTATTGACAGGACATGGAATTTTGAAAGAAACTCTTGAATATGCTTATGGAAGTTCTCATCTGCCAGAATTCAAAATGGCATGGCCAAAAGTAACTCACATAAAAATTGCATTGAAAGTTGGCTACCATTTTCTGAACACGAACTTTTTATACATCACTTGGTCATGATAATACAAGTCATATCTCCTTTTTCCTGCTGTTTTTCAGAGAAACATGACATTTCCATGACTTGTTTCGAAAGCAAGAATTTGCTGTTAAAGACATATTTAAGAAATTTCGTAATAAAAAAAAGTCTGTGGTACTTTATTGAGAAAGATAGGCATATCAAGAAATGAAAGATGAAATTTAAGGCATATTTAATAAAACTAATTTTAATAACGTTCGGTATTCTCATTAGCGCTATTAATATCCCTCATAACATTTTCTGCAAAATTTAATCAATCTAAATATTTTTTAAAATCTATATTTCGGAATTATATTTAAAAATTGTTCGTCTGAAAATAGTCTGAAATATTCGTCGAAACTTTTTCTTTTACTGCATTTGTACCAAGTATCCTTACAAGAAATTAGAATGCAGAATTTCAAAGTCTGCTATTTTACATTAGGCCGTTAGAGGTGAGAAACGTGTAGCAAAAATTAAAGTATTTTCCTTAAATAAATTTAGCTAAATTGTATTTAAAAACTTCTCTTTCAGCATAATTTTAATTCATTTCCCGTTTTTAGAAATGAGTGTTTGCAACAAGCAATTTTTTTAAATAATCAATGTGGCTTACTTACAAATACTTATCACGATAATTTTTCTCTCTGTTATGAACTTTACCATGATATGCCAGAAAAGATATGCTGTCTTACACGAGTTACACACAGGATGTGGCTTTCCCAGCCTAGGAGCCTGCTGAAGTGCCCAGCACCTGAACCTTACAAATAATTTTCATTAAAAACATATTTCTTCTGGAGAATTTTATAGGTACCTATGTAGAGTCATTAGGTTATTTTGAAGCAGGAGACATGAAAAATGACTGGACATCTCGAATACGCGACGAGTGTGCTACCATTACACTACGAAGGCATGCTGAAAGGAGGGAGAAAATATCTTATATTCTCCCCCCTTTTTAAAAGGCGACTGGGGATTAGGGGGCCCTGTCGCCAAATGCTGGCGAATTATTGTCCATCATCTTCCAGTTCGGGCGCCATTGTAGATTTAATAGGTTATTTTGAAACAGGAGACATGAAACATGAGCAGTGCCCTCGCCGCGACTCGAACCTGGACCTCTCGAATACGCGCCGAGTGGGCCGAAGGCATGCAGGAAGGAGGGAGAAAATACCTTATAAATGGGAAATATTTTTAAACAAGAAACATAACGCAAAATTCAATTGCATGTAACAAATTACCACAGGTTACTGATTACAGAAGTAGCTGGATGAACTTTTCTCTTGATCAAAGATAGAATGATTTTAAATCTAATTAAAAAAGAATGTTATTTCCTTTTCTTACACAGAAGAGTAATGAGTTTCCTTTTTAAACTTCTTTCGCTATACACATAAATAAATTAATTACTGAAATTCTACGGCGCAAACAAAGGGGGAGGGGCTCCAAAGGTTTTAGGGAAAATTTTAAAAGGAAGGTCAAGAATACAAAAACAAATCACGTGGGAATATGTAGTTGTAATGGCACCATTATTTTGGGTTTGTTTTTCTTCTTTTTCTAATAGCTTTTGGTTATATATATATTATATACGTAAGTGTAATTCAAAACACCTGGAACAAATTTAAAGGGATGGCAGAGTCCATTACTACTAAATTTGTTTTTATATGAATGTATAGACGCAAGTGACGCGTTGAGGTTCATACACAAGAAATAAGACATGAAACAAATTTTTTAGTTACAGCATCATTGCCACGGGCTTCTTTACAGCAATGTCTACAATAATTCCTCAAAATTGCATCCACTAACAGTAGTAGCACATGGTCGGGAGCGTCGATGGAGTGACTGATTTATACTATTGACCATATTGAAAGTAGTAGGTGCCTCCTTGTCTAGCATAAATACATAGTCTTTAAAACTGTCATTCACCCCAACGACGCTGCTGAGCATGTATTACTGTTGGTATATGTTAATTCTTAGCAATTACTTTTCTTAGGCTAATTTTATATAAACTTCTACATTTTATGTAATTGTTTTAAATTTGTGCTCTTCTAGTAATTTAAATAAATACTATTATTTCTAAATAAATCTTTTAGTTTTTGCGTGCTTCTTTTACAGTTATACACTCATTGCCATAAAAATTTGCACACTAAGAAATAGGTGTCAGACTTAAACGAAACTTTATATATGTGAGCGATACGTTGATATAAATAATTGATTTCAAAATCAAAGCCATATATATATATATATATTAATAGAGAAGTTATCTCTTCGGAAAATGTAGCTCAAAGTTAAAATGTAGAGTTATACTACTATATATGCACGTAATAAAAGCACAAGTTTGGAAGCACTGATGTAAAAACACTGAGATGTAGATGCGCAGAAATACTGATGGCATGGATACTTAATTTTTAGAGGGTCCATCCATTTTGAAGATAAGATAGTCCAGCCTGATTAAATTCCATATTTATTTAAATTCACATATGTGGCCATAATTCACTTGGCACTCCAATCGTGCCTATTTCTAGAACATTTTTTATACTATTTCGATAGAAGCGAACATAGAAGATTGATGCAGCGTCTTAACAGGATGAAAGCGTAAGCGAGAATAAATGATGGCTCTAGTCCCCTGTCGGACGACCTCTAGCGTAAATACACGATAGGACAAGAGCGGCATTGAGGGATACAGATATCGTATGGTATCCTGCGTCATCTCATTCTCCTAGGCTATCCAACTTGTACCAAATGGTCCGACGCATTATCATTATCAGTATAAGGGCACAGTCCGTAATCCAGGCCGTATGAATGGGCCAACACATATTCGATCGGTGAAAAATTAGGGAATGAGAGTCCCGACATTGTATGTCGCAATATATGTTGCGAAGGATATTACGAACGTAACGTTGGGTTCTCACGGTGCCGAGGCCGAGGATCAACATTGAAAGTAACCAGGTGTCATGTGCGATGGCATCAGCTGAGGAAACTAAGTGCCGCTGTAAATTGAAATTAGGATTGATGGGTTCACCACAAGCTCCATACATGTACACGGTTGTCATCCATGTCGAAAGTGAATCCCTGAAGACTGATTCCATTCGGTTGCGGTTCAGTCCCGTCGAGCGCGAGCGACATCACTCCATATGGAAGAGACGGTCAGTTGGTATTATATTATCCGTAGCATCCATAATAAAGGCATGAATCTCAAATGTCCTTCAGCCATGCGTGATGGTATGTATTGAAAGTGCTGCCTGTGCTTGGATGGCGGACACTGAGGTAGTTGGAGCTGTGTGTGCATGTTGGGTGATGTGACCGAATATTTCCTTCCCATCTTGAATTCTAACAGCTAATTATGTTGTCTTTGATGGCGGGGAAACGGCATCCCCGGTGAAAAAGCGACTAAGTAAAGACAAAATGCCTTTGCAAATCTTTTCATGCGTTAGGGAGAACGAAGTTATACGCCCTCTGTGGCAGTACGTAGTGCAATATCACATTGTATTTCTAATCATTTGCATATCTGCCTGACCTGTACTTTCATGTTTTGCTAGGATCTGATAACAACTTCTTGGTGCGCAGATTTTTATAACAATGAGTGTATACCACACCAAAGCTTTTGTAAAAATATTTTAACTTTTGGCATATGAAACAGTTTGATTTAAACATCAAAACTGATTTTCAACACACAGTTCACATGCACTAGGAATAATTAAGTCATCTTTCTTTTTCTTTCCAATTATTTGTAGAAGATACTTATTTGATAAAAAAAAATTTGAAAGATTATTTGAAGAATATACTCTTTATACGCAGTTGAATTCCTTAAGAAATACACTTTGTAATTACTATCATCTGTTTATGGTTTAAATAATCTTGAAGTAATATCTTAGCCACAGCTGTGAATAATGGATATTTCACAAATTTAATGTCTTATGCGTTCTCCGATTCCTATGTTAAAATAAATACCTTTGCAAACGATATTTTAACACATTAAAAAAGATATAATACATAATTTCGACGTCTTAACTTCATTAAAATAATCATATCATTATTATGTATGAATAAATACACATGTAAATGTTTCAAAAACAATTCAATTCATATCCAACCTTAGAAACCCACATTCTGAATATGACCTACCTTAAGATATCATTCGTTTAACAAAAATCCATTCAATTTAATAGTAAAATTATAATTGTAACTGTTTCTTATATGAAAGCACATATAACCAAAAAGTAAAGGATTCACACGAACTCAAATAACTTTCCATTGCACCAGTTAATCACATGATTCTGTTTCAGAGTTTGAGCAAATATATTTCTGTTTCAATAGCTATTTTTTTTTTTTTTTTTCCATCTGAAACTTTAGTTCATGCAAGTTATATCATACTTCCAACATCTTTGTCCATCCCAGCAAAAAATGAGACTATAATTATGCAGTCTGCACAATTTCTCAAGAAGACTGTTTACATTTATAACTTTCCTTTTCTTACATTCAGTTTACAAATATTCACTGCAATATAAAACAGTATGGTCTTATGAACCTTTTATATACCAAAATCGTATAACCAAACTATTACGATTACTTTGTATGAAAAAAAATTGAGTATTTCTAGGTATTTTTAGTCCAAAGGGGCAATTTTCCCAGAAGGACTATTAATTTCGTTTTGGCATTTTGCGACGATTCACGATAAATGTTGTTTCACTTTTCAAACTATTGCCACCAAATATTATCGCTCAGTATTATATTTAATGAAATTAAATAATGAAGAATCTTGCTGAATGTATGTATGTTTCTCGCATTGTGATAAAACAATGGTACCTAGAGCCATCAAAATTTGAATAATGTAATCTTTAACAGAATATGGGCATGTGGAAGCCCTAATTTGAATTTGAAATTTGTTTTATTATCGACTTCATATTTTGTAATACTTCAATGAATTTTCGATTAAAAAACCAAAAGATTTAAAGGCGTACAATGGCAACACTGTACAGGGCAGGGATTTATCTCCAATGCAGGAGACTCTGTATCAAAAATTCTAAAGATATGCTCATTTTAAAATTGAAAAACATATTTAATAAATAAAGGTAACACACAAAACGTTAAAAAAACGCCACTGCGGACATAATTTAAAATCTGACACTTTTCAGATTTAAAAACTTTTTTATTATAACAACTCTTAAAGCCTAAGAATAATATGATAAATACAAAATCCACATAAACATAAATAATGTAATATAGTTTTACTTTCCAGAATTAAGAGGATAATAAGCACAATGGAAGATCTAAAGTGGTGGTAGGGACAACAGTAGGCTGAGTATTCAAAGATTTGCTCATAAAGAATATTAAAAAGAAATCTTTTTTTTTTTTTTTTTTTTTAATTTCTAACGGCAGATTACAAAAACAACTGTAGACAGAACAAGCAAAGATGAAAGAGAACAACAAAACTAGGAGGTTCACAGTATAATCTACAAATCTTATTTTGCGTCTCAATTTCCAACAACTTTCCCAGAGCAATCCAACATTAAGTGCAGAGCAACAACTCGGATATAAGGCATCCATTTCCTCATGAAGGTTGCATAATTTACTAACTGGAGTTGAGAAAAATGTTCACTCAATGCAGACGGTTTAAAAGGAAATCATGGTCAGTAACAAGACCAAAATACAACAGATTTCTTTCTCGGCCATAAAGGAGTGCCAAAAATTCTGTTACTCCATACTTTATGATTGTTCCTTTCATTAATGGCTTTTGAGGAATATAGGGCTGATATAAGATATTATGATATAAGAGACTGAAGACAAAGATCGTCACCTTTTAAGATTTTTCATGCATTTCAACCATCAGATCACAATGTTTACAATCTCTATGCCTGTCTATCCTAATGTCAAAAATTCAGATTTGTTGGTTAAGGAGAGAATAAGAGTGAACATTAGTTTTGGTTTCTGAAAACTAACATAAAAGTTTTGTCCCAACAGAGGACTTTATCATTTGTTTTCGTTTAATGTTTTGTTTGTTTCCTTTCGTTTCGTTTCGTTTCCAGACATGTTCACTTATACTGAATTTTAAAATTCTGTAAGTCTCTCCTATATACATAGCACCACATTCACAAAAATGTTTATAAAAATATCAAGAACAACGGTCTAGCAGTATGGCTTTTAACACTGAGAACTCGATTTTAATACCAAGTTTAAAGCAAACCATATTGTTTGAAGCATTTAAAAATGAGATATTCGAGTTTAGGGACACAGAGGGAAAGACTGAGAGAACTGAAGTGTTTTCACTTTGATGGCTTAAAGCTGAAGAGGATGAGGGAATGTTTCTACATGTGATATTTCCTGTGAGGTTGTTAGAAGAATGAAAAAATTCTGTTTCAAGCTCCATCTCTCTTCTTTCAACCCAGCATTCCAGCCTCAACTGCATTCACCATCACAGCGTTACTTTGTTAAAATTAGACTGAATTCCAATGAAATTACAGTCAGCAATGATTTCTTGCTTATTTTTGTAAGTTTTTATATTGAAGGTTTTGTTTTCTTTATTATTAAACTGCACAAAGTTATTTTTCTCTAATATTTTACCTGCCAGAATTTCTAGTTCTAATAACTTAGTATCAGGGGAAAAAATATATAAAAATAAAATAAATAAATAAATAAATAAATTACAGCAGTATGATTAAGTAAAATTTTTTAAGAGAGGATTATACTTTAGTTTCAATTATTTTTACTAAAAATAGATTACATATAAAGAAAAGATAATTAATTTATGATCAATACAAATATCAACAGCATTTTCAGCAATATACATTTTATTGAGGCAATTTGTACAACTAGCATGTATCAGGACAGGTTAGTCAATACGATATTTCACAAGGAGTTTGAACATATAAATTAATTTTTACATAAGCATTATGCATGTTTAATCTATAAATCATTTGATAAGAGAAAACAGATGACTAACTCAAACAGCAAGGATGCAATTTCAATGAAAATATATATGTTTTTCGCCAATAGCTAGTTTTCATTGATTTTAATTACACTAATTAATATAACGAAATCCTAACATCCAAAAAATGTTATACATATTACTAAAAGTTTAAAAAAATTACAAGTATGCCTTTAGCAGTTGATCGTCTTTTATCAATATATGCATCTTTTTTTATTGGCAGCATTTGTATAGAATACACATGCATATACCAAGTACTTAAATTTTCAGTTTTGAGAACATGATATATGAATTACATAAATCTAAATATCTGAAATTCATAACATAATATTATTTTTGACTTAATATTTTTAATTAAACAAATGCTCAATAAACAAAATAAGTTACTATAAAAGTTTGGCAGAATGTTGAAAACTAATAAAATCTATTCACATACTTTGAAAAAGCTGCATTTTCTTTATAGGGGATGCATATGCACACTCACATATGCATAACATGTGTGTGCATATAAGCAGAGAGAGAGACACGAGTAAAATAGCAGACATAAACACCACTTACTATTATAAATTGTGAAGGAATAAAAGTTTGTTCCTCAAGCAAAAATAAAATTTATATAACAAAAGCTTATAATTAACATAAAATATAAAACATAAATCTTGAATAAAAAATAATAAAAATATGAAATGTGTAAACAAAATGCTCTTATAAATAAAATCGTAAAAACTTGTCAATGAAAGTTGAAAATAAAATCATTACTCAGCCACTTTCAAAATAGATACGAACAAGCACGCTACATGCAGTTTATAACACCACATCTAAAGGTAATAAAAATTTCAGTCTTATTACTTATAAAATTAAAAATAAAAGCATTCACTCTATTTTCAACTTTCAGAATATGAAGATTATGAAAATTAAATAAATATTACTCAACAAATATATCATTAATATTATCAGGATAAAAGCTATACACATTTTTCCCAACACAGAATAAGGTTATACAAGTATCTTCTCAGCCTTATGATTAATATTTAAAATAATTATTATTAAACATTAAGTAGGCATCTATATACACACTTTCATCCCAGTTACACAAAATTTGTTACCTTATTTCAAGGCAGAACAAAGCAGTATGTAGAACTATTCTGAGAAGCTCTTTCAAGTTTCAAAGGCTGATGTGTCATTCAAATCATGTAATTAAACACTCCAATAAAACAAATACAATAAAACTGTTAGTTCAACTACAGTTAAATTAAAAACAGATCCTATCTGAAGACCAGCTTCTACAATGTTTCCAGCAGTTCCACTCACTCACTATTTACATAAAAATAAGATAAAATAAATCACTGCTTTTCATGACTTAGCACAGATAAGTTATTTAACACAACATATAGTGATATCTGTATTTCCTACATTGCAAGATACATTTTACTTTCATCTCAAATGTATTTAAAATGTGCATTTTGTATGAATGTCATTTTTAAAATATTTTTTGAGTTAAATTCTGAAAAAAAAAAAAAAAAAAAAATGCTATTAATTTATACTCTATACAAGACACTATTTTCCACTATGCTGTTTAGTTCAACACAACTAAAACTAAAACTTAACACTATAGTCTGTGATGATTGAATATACTGCTAAAAATGAAATGAAATGATAAAAAGCTCAATGTGAGTTTCCATTTGTGTGCTAAAAAACGTTTTTTGCACTGACTTTTATATGGGAAAAAAAATATGAAAGAACTATGGATAAATTAAATTCTGCTGCTAAAAGCTTTACGTATAATAATAATGACAACAATAATAACAAAAACTCATTTTACAAAGAGATTTACCATATATTGTAACTGAAGGAAATACAGTAATATCACTAATCATCATACTTTCTCTAAATGCATAAAACAATTCTATTTAATTTTATAATTTAAATGCATTTTTTAAAATTTACCAAAAGTAAATATATTCTCTACAAATAAACTATAAAAAAAAGTAAACTACTTTCTAAAAGGCAAATATATATATATATAAATGTACAAAAAATGTTTATTTACAATGATATATAACATGCAAAATGTACTATTCAGAAATATAGTAACATAAAATATTGATAACTAATACAGACAAAAAATAATTCAGTCATTTAAGTTGATTTAATTCAAAGTTGTTTAAATACTATTTGTTAATAATAATGATAAAAAAAATTAAATAATATAAATATTTAAAAAATGAAATGCTTATTGAAAATACAGAAAACAATTATCTTGAATTTAAATGATGCAAAAATTTAGAATGACAATACTCTTTTATATCACATCTTCTAAGCTTACTTTTTTAAATAATTTTTATATAAAAATTAGGTCAATCTGACAAAATACATTTAGTAAAATAAAAGTACTAGAACACAGTTACATAATTAATAGTACCAGAAGCAGAAGTTATGTATATTATTTGGCAGTAGTATTACAGGCATATTTTGTGCCTTTGGAAATTTCTGGGTTAATAACCATTTCCACAGCATAGCAAACAATAATGAATTCCTACTTAGGAAACATGGGCTTTCTCTCAGAGTAATATCTGTATACTTAAAAGCTTCATAAAATCATGCAAATATAATTAAATCTAAACTGTGGTGCTATATGAACTGTGACTGTATGTAACTTTTTGATCATCTGGCTCCAGAGTTACATCTTCTGTAGATGCCAAGTTCACAGCAATGCTGTCCCCTGCACTTAACTGTTGGCTGTGACTTCGACTCAAACTCGACCTGCTAAATCGATCATCAGAAGCCATTGTTTCCAGATCAGATGTAACTGCTCTGTACTCATCAGCTGTGGTTGCAACACTTTGTGCATCTATTGGACTATCTTCATATTCATACATTAAAATAGCAGAGCTTTTGGCCCCATCAGCTGTAGCCTGGAAAATGAAATTTCTAATTTTACATTTTAATTTTCTAATTTTAGAAGTGTTTGTTGGAGTTAATGTTACTTTCATTTAAACAGTCTCCAAATTATTAGATATAAGACCTCTGATAATAAATGGTGGGGCTTCTTGAGGTCTCTGTGAAGTAAGTATTAAATTATAGGAACTGAAATTGCTTTTATTTATTACACTTGCTCAGATAAGGTACATGTATTTGTCATGCACATGAGAGGCCAATGGAGGATAAACATGTGCTGTTTTGAATTGCTCAATAGATTTCAGAAGTCCATTTTACACAATCAAATATTTTCTTTCTAAATCACCTGCATATTAAACTATCCATAAGAGACTATGTTACATCTTTATAAAATTCAACTACTGTACTACTCACCTGAACTGCAGCATATAGAGTGTAGAATTATTTGCACTGTTAGCATGCTACAAAGACTTCACAATGAGTTTGAATTTCTTAAAAACATGTGTCTCTAATTAATCTAAGAGGTCATGTTCCACGTAAATCGTTGTGTAAATTGCCACACAAATGTTGAACTTGTAACTCTGAAAACTTGTGTGTAACATATAAATACATTCAAAATTATTTAAAGTCTAGTATGATGTAATGACTAAGAAGTCTTTTAGCCTCTTTTTCTTTGTTGAAATTAATATCAACTTCAGTGTGAATTTGAAGATGCTACAGATCTTTTTGTTTCCTGAGATTCAGCAAATGGAAGAAATAATTACAAATCTGTCAAGATGAAACATTACTCCACTTTACAAATCTTATGAGAGAAAAATTGAATCGGAGAAGTCAAACAACAAGAATCAGTGCAATATCTGTAAATTTTGCAGGACTAGTTTCGATGGTTTCTATACAGAGCTACCTTCCTCAGCTGCCTAAGTGCAAATGAACGAGAATTCATCAAAATAGATTCATGGAAAACTGGAAATTTATAAATATTAGGCTGATTCTTGCTGTTTGACTTCTTCAATAATCATTATTTGGCATGTTATTTTAACCTAAATTACAAGTTGAATTGCTGATTTTGAGAATGACTGATAGGCAAAACGATTCCATGGCCAATCAGTCATTCTCAAAGGATATTTACAATAAAAGAACTGATAATCTTGACCACCATTTGTGTTGTTAAAGATGTGCATACTTATTAATTTTGTTCATAATCATTTAAGTGTCTGAATTAAATAAAAGTACTTTCATTCCCAGGGCCGATCCTAGCAGGGGGCAAGATGGTGCACAGCCCATGAGAGGCCAAACTTATGTGTGGCAAAATGATTATCAAACATTATGCAGTCAAAAGTCATTAATCCGGACTTGTCGGGACTTCGGCGATTCCAGATTATAGATCATCAGTTTAAATCTCGTAAAATGGCATGCAGAAATTCTAAAATTAAAAATATGAAACAGTAATTTATGAAATAAAGAACAATTAAGGTATGAAAATTTACAAAAAAAGCTTAATATTTATTTGTTTACTTTATTAAACATTTCTTTCAATGTAAGTTGTTAAGTTGCTTCGTTTTATGTGATAACACTTCTCTTTAATTCTATAAACAGACATATTTCTTGTTCAGTTACAAAGTCACTGTTCAAGTCCCGTAATTGCTGGCGAGAGAGAACCGACTAACTTGTCAATCGAATTTTTTCGTTTTCACTAACCTCTCTGTCCCTCTTCATGTTTATCCATTTTTTGCAGCAATTCCACTTTTTGTTTGATGGACATCGAAACATACTTTCGTTTTGTAGATCCTCCAGGGAAAGCTCCAGGATCGGAAAAATTCTATTTGACATAATCGAAAGTTCAAGTTTACTTTTTAAAATTGCTCTTACAGTCTGAAAAAAAAAAGCCTGATCCAATTCGAAGATTAAGGAACAACGATATCATCAACATTAACTGAAATAGATAATTTTAGCTTTACCGTCGTTATACATTAAACGCGCACACGAAAACGCTTCTGCACTTGCGCACATGCATATGTGCAGTCGTAAGGGCCTACGTGCATGCGTAAAACGTCTATGCAACGCGGCGCATGACAGAAAGTTTTTAGCTTTGAGGTCCGGATTATAGATCATTCCGGATTATGGGTGTCCGAATTAACGACTTTTGACTGTATTTCTGTAGAAAAGAGCAGTCAATTTTAATTTCCCATGTGGACGGCTGACAGTCTAGGACTGGCACTGTTCATTCTATTTCATATATTCTACTTCACAGAGATGTCATAAAATCTCAGCATTCCTTATCAGAGAACCCTGTATAGATAGTATTAAAAATTCACATGAAAAGCTTTGGCAGATCATCAGAAATTTCAAATATTTTTAATTGAAAATTGAATTAAAATAATTTATAGGCTTGAACATAAAATTATTGGGAATTTCTATATTAGAACTTAATTATTTTTTAATATTACCTATTCAATGGATCAATCAAGATTAAAATCTTTGATATGTTGGTTTACTTTTAAAGGGACAAATATACATTTTTTTTACATTTTTCTTTTAATTTAGTTAGATAATACAGCATATGAAAAACATGCTTTCCCACACAATTTTTAAAGTTAAAACCCAATAAGTCTTGTTAAAGGTATGAAACTTTAGCAAATATTATATATATAAACGTAAGAAAGAAAAGAAATGTGCACCAAAAATATGTTAACTAAATAAAAGTTACAGTTCCCATCGTTTATAAGTAATAAAAACAATAAATAACTTTAGAATTAAAAATTAAAAAACTTAGTCCAAGGGGCTTTGCCTGAAGGACTAGTTTTCGTTTGTGATTTTACGTGGTGGCCATAATGCTCGGTCACTTTTCAAACTGTTGCCACCAAATGTTAAGAGTCCTGTTTTATAGAGGCCATCCAGAAGGAGAGGCCGGGGCCGTGGCCGCAGGGGCGGGGGATAGAGAGGATATGGGGTCAGAGCGTGCGAAGATCAGTCGGATCAGCAGTGCTAGTGAGAGGTTAGTGCTGTGATCCGTCAGATACTGTGAAGGTTTGAAACGTCTGCGTTAATGCAAATCCCACGAGCGCAAGGTGCGCGCGTATAAGGTCTGACTGAAAAAAACGTAAACCGATAGAATCTACGGAGCTCGTGAAGTGTAGGGACAACATTATACTAAGGTGGAGTGCGTCAGTGGGTCAAAGATTTCAAATTGGCCGACCAATGTTCACGACGAAGATCGAAGTGGGAGACCCAGCATAGGACCGCCGAACTTCTCGAAAAAGGTCAGCTAAAGTCCGTGAAAATCGAAATTCACATAAACGGACTTTCTTGGTTTTCCACAAATTTAGCGAAAGTTTGTGCACGAAAATCATCAGCGAAAAGCTTGGTTACCACAAGTTTGTGCAAGAGGATTCCAAAATCTTGACAGAGGCCACAAAAATCAGCGAATGCTGCAGGTTGAATTTTGGAGCTACCAAGGATGGGACTCTTACCGTCGCATCGTTACTCGGTGACGGAACATGGGTGAAACATGTGAACTGTGAAACGAAATTGCAATCAAGCAGTGGGGCACACAAGTTCTCCCCAAAAACCAAGAAGCATGAAACAAGTCGGCAGGACGAGATGGCGACGGTTTTGGGACAGAAAGGTGTAATTTGGTGTGGACTTCTGGAAAGAGGCCACTACAATAACTCTCAAAGGTTTGCCAACTCTCAAAAACTCAGAAGAGCAATCAAACAGCGCCGAGGATGTTGAGCTCTAAGATCTTGGGATTCCGACAACGCCCGGCCCCACAACGGCAAAGTCACTAGTAAAGTTATTGAATAGTGGGAGTTGTTCATCCGCCTCAACGGAAAGTCAACATGGGAACCGAGCGGAAAAAGAAGGACAGCAAGAAGAAGTGGCTGGAGAGGTTTTTGATGAAGACGAAAGAGGAAGAAGAGGGGTAACGAAGTGTTGAAGGCGCAGGAGGCCGAATTTTTCGATGAAGGAATTTCCAAGCTAGTACACGCATACGATAAATGCCTTATTGTATGGTGATATGTAGAAAGTAGTATTGAGTGTGGCTTTCATCTGTATATAATAAATTTGTCCATACTTTATTTTTTTTATTCCAAACGTAATTATTTCTGGATAGCCTCGTTTGAAAGAAATTAATAATGAAAAATCTGCATAATGTATGTATATTCTTGCATGTGATAAACAACGTACACGAGCACGAATTTGAATGAGGGTAATCCTACTGCGAATATGGGCCCAAATTTGAAATTTGTTTGATTATCGATTTTTTTAAACTTTAAGATTTTGATTAACAAACTCAAGGATTAAAGAGAGCATAGCAACATAGTACCGAAAAAACATTTATCTCCAGTACATGAGACTGCGTATCGGAAATTCTGAAGATATGCTCAATTTAAAACTATTTTGCGATATTGCTCTTGAACTGAATTTTTTAGTTTAAGTACGAAGAATGTGATACTTAATAAATAAAGGTAACAGACAAAATGTTAAAAAAATGCCTTTTGGACATAATTTAAAATCCTTTTTTTTTTTTTTACACAGACAAATTTTTGAGTTCTTTTTCATATTTGATGTTACAACAGAGAAAGAAAGTTTTATGTTATTTCTAGCTCCTTTTGTACATGGCTAAAACATACTTGGATACAAAATTGTGGTTAAGACAATTTAACATTATTTGTAATATATGGAAAGGGAAACTTTGTTTTTTCATTATTTTAATACAGTTATAACTGAACATTCACATGCTACAGGGTTGCTCTATGAAAATAAATTTTTATAGGAAATATAGGGTGTTTGGGAGCCAAGCTGCCAAACTTCAAATATTATATTCATATATAAGACATTATACGGGATAAGGCAAGCCAAACCAATCAGTGAACATCTTATTTAATGGAAAATAAATTATGATGCCTTGAATATCAGCTATAGTATGATATGGGAGCTAGCTATTTTGGTCATACAGAAAATGCACAATAAGCAATGCTTTGAGTTCCAGCAACAGACAAGATATAAGGGTATCACAGGCAATATAGCAACTGACAAAAGTGCTCCGTAGAATAGCTCTTGTAGGATATTCTACTGAGTAGTAGGAAGCAGTCATTCAAGACCATAATGCGAGTGTCAACTGACGGATGGATTATGCCTTATTTTTCAAATGTGGAACAAGCTGATAATGTCTTCATTTACATATGAGTGAAAAACAATTTGAAGAAAAAGCAACAGAAAACATATTTTTATAAAGATGACCCAACAAAAATATACTCCGCTCAAAAACAAAGATTATATTCACCAAGTTGCTACATCAAATTAATTACAATAGCTACCAATGACAAGTTGTCTCCTATCAACCACCTACTGCTGCTGACATACATCTAAATCATCTCCCTGAAACATATCTAACAATATCCAAATGCTTACTAACTCACAAACTGGTTTAGAGCTAAATTAAAGTTAGAATGTATAAGCAAATGCTATTAGGCATGTGCAATACCATGTGTATTAATTGCAGACTTGTATTAACTGAATTAGATTCAAATTAGCATACATATTTACATTCACAAAGTATTTAACCTTTTAACTGTCATGCCCGAAATAATCTCGGGCACAGCACTGGTATTCCAAAATGTCACGCCCGAATATATCGGACCCTAATTTTTTTGAGTGCTCGTATTGTATACCCAAATACATATCGTGCGAAGTGTATTTCCACTTTAGTACAACAGATGGCAATTGAATGAGGTTTAAAGGAAGAGGTTAAAGTTCAAAGTGATCAGCAATTTTTTTTATTTTTTTTTTATTTTTGACTTTGAGGCAAACATTCATTTTAGAATAAGAAAAAAATTGACAATATGCACCAATATCAACTAACTTGACAGTTAAAAGTGAATTGATGATAGTGCATTAAAAACTATTTCCACGTTATGCTCAATTTGCACACGATATAGAGGGTATCCAGAAAGTAGATTACGTTTGGAATTAAAAAAAAAACAAGTATAGGAAAAAAATTTATTATATACAGATGAAGCACACTCAATACTACTTTTACATAGTCACCATACAAAATTAAGCATTATGTAGCAATGTACGAGCTGGAATTCTTCGTCGAAAATTCGGCCGCCTGAGCTTCAACCACTTCGTACCTCTTCTGCCTTCCATCTGCAAAATTGTGGTAACAGATTTCGCTGCTGATCGTGCAACAAACTTCGCGAAATTGTGGAAAACTCAAAGAAAGTTCCGTTATTGTGAAATTTCGATTTTCATGGACTTTGCATAGAATTTTCGAGAAGTTCGGCCGCGTCCTTGCTGGGTCGCCCACTTCGATCTTGTCGTGAACTTGGTCGGCCATTTTGAAATCTTATGACCCACTGACGCAATCCACCTTCAGTGTAATGTGTCCCATACACTTCACGAAGCTGCCGATAGATTCTATCGGTTTAAGTTTTTTGCAGTCAGAAACCTATTACGAGCGCACCTCGCAGGATTTTATTAACGAGAAATTTAACAGTACAGTATCTGAACGGAGCACCGCACGACCCTCACTGCACGGCTAGATGCAGAATGAGCGCGCAACGCTATGATCCCAAGATGGCGCGCTAGCCCCGCCCCTAAGCGGAAACAGACGGAAACGTAATCTACTTCCTGGATGGCCCTCGTATTATCTTGCATAGATATTTAATAACAGATATATATCTTGGTGATAACAGATAAATAGATATTTAATAAATTGGTGAAAATCTATAATAGCTTTTACAAAGTTATATCACCAAAGTATATAAAAGGAAAAGCTCTAAAGATGACATAGAAACTTTTAATCAACAAATGATGTGGCAGAAACAGGAAGAGTTAAAACCATGAGCTTTTAAAATGGGGGAAAAATTTAAATGAATAACTTCTTTTTATACTGTACATATACATATAAGTAATGTAATAAATACTGACGTATACAAATAAAAAATAAAAATAAAATTTTATAAGAAAATTTTCAAACAATAATTTATAACTTTATGCAAAGAATAAAACAATGATTAGCAATTTTAGTTAACACTCACGAAGCTTTTTAAATAGCATTTTATTACCTTAAGAATCTCAAGACAAAGATCTGTCTCTATAGGTATAGGATCTTCATTCTCCCTATTGAAGATAATGACAGAAATCTGAACTGGATGAGGAAGAGGCAAAGGAATGAAAAGTTTTTCGGGATGACTAATCTTTGACTTCCTTCTCCAATGATATAACTGTCGCCTAGTAAAAACAATGCAAGATGAATTAAGCAATAGAAAACTCAATTGGAAATATACTAAAGGGTAGAGAATTATCTTACTTTTTCTTTTCCTTTTTGTGCACAGTATTGGCGATATTGTTTACAGGATTAAATGTGTTCAAATCCAAGTATGGTGAATGAACATGAATTTTACCTAAATTACCAAAATAATATAGAATTTCTCATACAGTGATTTACAGCAGTTACAATAATTAACATAAACTGAAATTTACACATATAGCCAGTCCTGCTGTCTAAATATGGAATAACAGTCTTACAAATAATTACATATTGTGGCTTAGTCTTAGATTTACTGCAACAGAAGATGCCTGAAAAGCACAGAAAACACGATCACATGATAAGTAAGATATAAGCTCAAGATAAATTGTTCAGCATGAAAGGGGGTTGCAAGATTAAGCAATTCTTTCTTTTTAGATATACACGATGTCAGTCATAAATTTGTAATGCAAGCTGTATTTGTTTGCCCCGACTGTGGCATGTAAATGGAATGCAAGTTAAGGTTACCACAATTTAAATGAAGAATGAAACAGCAACATTTAAAACTACACAGAAAGTTAGTAAGACTGTATCAGTAATGTGGAAAAATGCTGCATAATTCAAGTGAATAAACACTGCAGAAACTTTTGTGGTTTTTTATGCATAACATAAACAGAAGACAGTTTCTCAGAATATATAACATGAAAACATTTCCTTCCAATAATCTTACAAGTTATGAGAAATATGATGCAACATGGTTGCATATCCTGATAATCCACATACCACGAGTTGCATGGATTTTACATTAAATTTGGATTGTTTGCACATAAACAACTTACTGAAACATATTCATACCTTAAGAATTATTGAATTAAGATTTATTGAATACAAAACTGTTATATTTAAAAAAAAATCATATATCCCATTAAAAAATAATTATGTCAGAACAGTGGGAAACAATTAGTGGAGAGGAAAATTGATAAATGACAGGGAAATTATTTAAGGAATTGAAGACTTATTTTTCAAAAATGCATAAATGGAATTCATGTAGAAAAATTGTATATCCACCACTGAAATTACTTTCAAAGCAATTTTTAGCAGGATATAGAATAAAAAATAGGGAATAATAATAAAAAAAGAAAAATATACAGATATTCTAATAAAATTGACAGTACTGACTTTGTCCTAAAAATGTTAAATATCTTTCAAAATAATATAAACTCACTTCTCCAACCAAAATATTTAACTATAGCAAATGTTTGTTAAACATTTATTTACATATACGGAGGGGAAAAAATCCATTAAATTTGTTGTATTATATTTTCTGAAAATTGGATTTTTTTTAATATTAAAAAATGAGCACAGATTACTCGTTTTTAATATGAGATTATCCTATTTTAATATTTTACTGCTATTAAATTGCAATTATCATCATTTCATTGTTATTAATATTATCTAGTGTTCTGCTTTACTTTCGAAAATCCCATGAAAATTCATTAATAAGATATGAATTCTAATTTCTAGTCAAGTTTTCCTGATTCAAACTGATATTGTTAATTTAGCCTATAAATTCTCAGTCACTTCCAAATGTTATGCCCTTTCCACCTGGTGGCATTACCTTACCTAGTAACAACAATTCATTGAAGAAAGTCATTTGGTGAGAAATTTCATTGCATTTCCAGTCTTGGAAGACATGTAGAATGGTTTGAAGTTCAAAATTTGTTCAAAGTTCGCCAACAGCAGAAATAATGTAGCAGTTTTCAGATTAACTATAACCAAGCCAAACTGGCTTTCTTTATTTGTGATTATATTCTTATAACTATTTTCAAACACATTAATATATTATTAAAGAAGAAGCCTGCTCTAAAACTGCATTTTTTACAGCTTTGTTCTGCCATATGATAAGGTACTGCTTACTTTTATATTAATATTAAAATATATATAAGCGTAATCTGTCCTTTCAGCAATAAAATGAATAAAATTTCATTTTCACCTCAGTGAATTTTATGAAAAAATGACATATATAAAACACATTTAACTTTGGAAATATACCAAAATGAGTATCAATTTTACATAAGACATCTGACATTATAATAAGGCTACTTTTACAACCACATATTTCATTTACCTTTTGGTATATGTATAACATGACTAAAATCTACATTAGGTTGTTGTGCAACAGACTGAAGCATTTCTGTGTACCTTGACAAATTTACTCCATGAGCCTGTAAGAAGTAATATTTTAATTAAACATAGTTCCAATTATAGTTAAAATTATTATTTATCTATATATTTATTATAATATTTTTAATGTTTGTAATTACAATTTCATTACTTGATAAGTAATATGCACATAAATAATGCAATAAAGAAGGACACTAATTTCTTTAAAAACAGCATAAATAGTATCGCAGAGTTTCAAGCTGGGAGAAAGAATTAGCTGAGAGGCACTAACTAACGTAGAGGCGTTTCGTACAGGAAAACAATCTATTTTCTAAATTATAGCATATCATAATGTACTTGTGTTCCAGCTCTAAATTTATAGATCTTGGAAAATCCAATGTTTATACATGAAGTTTTGTCATTACATTTTGCTTTTATTTTGGTAAATAGCTGCAATTACTTATGACAATATATAATGTTTCTGTAAGGCAATTCATGCTTCAAGTAGTTTATTAAAAAAATTAAAAATGGACACCAGAGCTCTTAAATGAGTACTGGACTGGCGCTCCTATTACTGCCTTAACAAAATTATCTTGATCAAAGCTTTAAAATTATAATTATTGATGTGTCATGCTCCCATCTCAACTTTATGGGAAAAATATAATAGCTTTATTAAGATAAATACAGGCTACACATTTTTAAAATTGCCCAAGATTTCTCACACAAAGATGATATAATAAATGTGAGCCTCAGCTACATTATAGTCCAGGTAAGTTTTCCATGACTTAAAAAAAAAATTTTTTTTTAATCATATAGCTAAAAAGGAATTTAATAAACATTTTTCTCAAACTAAAATGATGGATGTAAAATCTTTAGAAGCTGTTTTGGGAAGATATGCAAAGAATGGATACAAATATTTAATAGATGACAACAATAACAGGACAATATTATTTCATTCCAAGAAACATCACAGTAATGCAAACACTTTAAATTAAACATGAATATTTTTTTTAGTCTCCCCATGCCAAATTTTATTGAATAACCATTAGAGTATTTACTCTAAGGATTAACAAAGTGCACAATGAAAGACCAGGGAGAGATTTATACAGTTAATCAAAAATAGGCAACATAATTAGTTTAATATTGCTACAGATTTTTCAGCACATTATAGATTTTACAAACATGCATGAATATAATATTTTTTAAATTATATAAAAGTAAAGAGTTTTACTTATTCAAGAAAATGATACTTGATTACATACTTCAAGTAACTATTTGAATATATTAGCTAGTGATTTTATATATAGAATAAATCTTCAAGGGAAATTATATGAAATTATGCTTTAAAGTGAAAGTATATTACTTCATAAATAACATGCAGGATAAGTAAAAACATGTGAATCTGATATTTGATGATGAAATTAAAATTTACATCTGGAACTTAATAACAAATAATAAGTAGCATTTTTTAGACACACACATAAACAAAATAAGTAAACAAAAATATTAATATCAAATAAATAAATAATTTTTGTGTTAATTATAAGCATGCTAATCTTTGAACCTCAATGATTATTTAAGTTTGAATTTTGGTTAATTTAAGTTGAGTTAAGAGTTTGTGCTGCACAAGGATAAAATAATGAAATGACACCTTTTAAGTGATAATTATTATCTAGCCCCCTCAAAAAAAAAAAAGTTTGATAACTTTTAATTTTTCAGCCAAACAAGCTAAAAATATTTCTTGACACCCTAAAGTCATTATTTCGAATGGTAATACCTACAAATACCTTGAAACATGTTCCATTAAGAGAGAAAAGGAATTGAGTAATAGTTCCATTAAGAAAGAAAAGGAATCTAGTAATATCCAGAGTAATAAAGTATCATGGTCATTATATGGAATTATAATCAAAAACATGCCTCATTCTTATAGGCTTAAGGATTTGAACCCTTGGCCATCTAGAACATGCATGTAGCCAAACAGGATACCCTGAGTGCCCAGGCAACCCCTCACATTACCAAGTTAAACCAACAACAACAACAACAAACAAACAAAAAAAAAAAAAAAAAAAAAAAAAAAAAAAAAGAAAACTTTTAATGAATACAAAATTTTAAAATATTTTTAAATTTTGATATATTTATTTTGTATTTGATATAAATTCAATTGTTTAGCAAGGATCTAACATAAATCTCAATGGCTATCACCTTAGAGATTAAAAGGCAAATGTAAAAAATTAGAAGTATGAGAAATAGAAAAAGGTCACCCGATTTTGAGTCAGAAAAGCTACTGTCATTTTTATAGTGCTTAGGAGATCCCAGCACCTGCTACTTGTATTGTTCTGCCACCTTTAAAAGACTATTTAGCATATGGAAATTTAAGTTGTGACTTTCAGCCAGTAATCCCAAAAATAATTCCACAGTGAAAGAGTTGTACTTTGATCATTTTCAGGCAATTATTTTTTTATTTCAATATCAAATGTATCAGATCAGTAAATAAAGAAAAACATAAAATTTTTTTTTGTTTAATTCTTTTATTTTAACAATGCAATATATTATATTTTATCTATGTCTTTTTAAATATTTAAAATTAGTCATATTTCTGTTAAGTGCAATTTCTTTAAAATTCAGAAACTCATTCAATTATATTTTTTGATATTATAGATTTTAAAAATATCTGTTAACTTGTGGGCTTTCATTGCTTATATTTTTAAACAACTACTGGAGTTAAGCATTATAATATAACAACCACTTCATACAGGTCCATCTAAAATTATTTTCAATATTTTTACTGAGCATACTCTTGCATTAAATGTGAATGTTAATTTCTGAGGTAGTTAAAATCTTTGAAAGGATTCTGATGCATAATAAAATCTAATTAAATCGTGAATAACTTTTGCTCAAGGGCTGGATTAACTATTAAGGTTAGGAATCAAGGCAAGAGGTCCACAAAAAATTCCTTATATATTCAGGGAAGGAAGGAGCAAAAAGTTTTCCACTGTCAGTTTTACCATGGAATGCATGGTACAGCTAAACCAAAACCAAGAGAGAGAAAGAATGACAAAAAACTGTCATAAAGATATGTGGGGGAACTAAAATCGTTTTCAGCATTTAGGTTGGTTTGGTTTATTGAAATTACGGCAAAGCAAACTAGCGCTATCTGCCTAAGAGGAGGAATGATTTCATGGAGGACGTCCTAAGGGAAACTGGCTGGTATACACACTACACATGGGAAAAACCACAAAACCGCCCATGCAGCCAGATTGTTCGCCTAGACTATCGAACCCAGGTCAGAACTACCAGTGTTCAGTGACTTTACCGCTTGGCCACTGGTGGGCTTTCAGCATTTAGGATCTCTAAAAGTTTTAATCTGGCCCTGGTAGGCTTCATATCATTCGAGAGCATTGAGTACCTAATTTCAAGCACATGTCACTGGAATTCATATATACAAATTTAGTTTAATTACATTAAACAGTATAAACACTTTACGCTGATTTTGACTTAACCTAACATTTAGAGTGAATACCATTAACATTTAGAATGAATATCAGTAATAACATGTAATAACATTAGAAGTTAAGATTTAGTTATATTAGTATCCAGTTTTAGAATGAATATCTAACTTAGAACATTCTTTCAAAGTTAATTATTTTTACTACTCTTAGACATCTTCTAAGAAGTACTAGGAAATAACAGGTGTAGAGAACCATGCTAATTTCAAAATTAGCATAGAATCGTTCTGTGTTCCTCCTCTGAATAGCTCCTCCATTTTAAGCACAGTCTCATATATAAAATGCATGTTGGCTAACTCTGCCATTTTTTTGCTCCTATGCTAATTTTGAAATCATGGCAAATGTCTATCAATATTGTCATTGGCCACACTGTGATTCCCTAGACAGCAGGTATTTGAAAATGACATAGTGGAATCTCAGTCAGTCAGGAGAAAATCTCTTTTATAGCAGACCTTATTCTCGAGTATTATATTCTCCAGTCCTAGAATTTGTAAGAATTTTTTGTAATTGCTAGTCGTCTGAATATTAGATAATTCTGGATACTGGACCTTATAGTGCACACAATTTTATTTAAAATTATAGAACTAAAATATTTAAATAAAAAATTAATGAAATACATACTTCTAATGAATAGCATGTATCATTTTCTTCAAGCGGAGTGAGAATATCAATAGAAAATACTTCAGTTAAAAGTTGAGCAGCAAATCCTAAAAGATGACGATTTTTTAAATGTTGCATAATAACCATTTTTTCCTTTTATTACATTATATATCTGCTCCAACACAAAAACTCCCAAGCCTTGGAAGTTTTATATGTATTTGAGAATTACAAATTACTTTAAACAGCTAAGAGAAGGACAGCATAAGGACAACGGTCTCAAGCAGATGGCCTGCAGACCACACGCAACACCAGATGCAATTTTATACACCTCACTACAACATTTCAAATATAAATTTGTTGCGAATACAATGCTACAAAGACTTCAAGATTTTAATTATTTGATATCTGAATTTATAGCATTAAAAACTCACTTGAATAATGCATCAGAAAATGTGTACATGAAACAGGTCACTAATTTACAGTGTGATATAAAGCTTATTCAAAGATTTAAAGGTAGAGATTTTATTAATATTTGTCAAAATATAAATAAGTTCAATAATGCATTTTTGAGGTAAGAATAATCTTTTGTTCAGGAATACATTTATATGTGAAAATTAATAAGAAAAACTCGATTAACTGGCATCTACAATTTGTTAAAAGATCTTCATTTCTAGTAATTTCTCTCCAAGACTACAAACTTTATCAAATCAAAATTCCATCAAATGTAAAGATGTAGCAAAAGAAGTTCATAATCATTTGCATGCAAACAATGTATTTTTATTTATGCGTAGGAAAAAAATTAATAACTAAGAGAAGGCGTTTACGTTATCATTATTTATTCTTAAATTTTGTCCTACTCAGAAAATTTCCTCTGAAAAGTTTAAGTTTTCAGAATTTCTTTAAGTTTAAATTAAAGTAAATTATTTAATAACTAATTGAACATGTTAGTATTATTTTAAATAAATATCAGTCTGAAAGTTTAATATTTAGCTGTTAGTATATTTGAATTACAAAGTGTAACCAATCAAAATGTTTTGCAGCTACCAAACTTTAGATTTCAGACACAGAAATAAATTTTAGTTTGAATTTTTTCTTTTGCAAAATTGTTATTGTTTATGCATGTTTTGAAAAATACTTAGTAAGCAAAATTAAAAATTAATTAAAAATATTTTTTTGTTAAAAAAAACTGCCTTGTGAGTTGCTTTCTGATTGGTCATGTGGCCTGCAGGCAATTTGATTTTGAGACCATAGCCTTCAGGCATTCATATATGATCTAAAAGCAATCATATTTAACAGAGTTTAAAATTTTAGACAAAAATTTTTAAATATTTTCATTACATATTTGTTGTAAAATATAAAAACAATCATTTCTATATACTGTAAATAATATATGCATATTAATAATTTAAGTATTAATATAAATAAGTATAAACATATTTAAGTTATGTACAAGTAAGTTTTAAAACTCAAAGTACCCTTTCTAAACACATTTAACCTTTTTACACTTTTCTATCTAGGTTTTATACTACATTCTCTTCCTTAATTCATAACAATATATCAATAATTTTCAATAAATATAAATCATTTGATTGCATCTGCAAAGTATAATTACAAACACAAACAAAAAGATAAAAATACGCATAAAAAATTGCAATGTTCAGATATGTCAATACAGATATACAGATACATAATTCCATAACATAAATAACAGTCCCAAATTGATTTAGAAATAATACCATACCCAAAAATTATTCAACTTTCCAATCAAGGAAAAAAAAAAAAAAAAACACCAACAAATGATAAAATTGCAAAATAATTATGAACCAATTATCTAAACAAAATCAACACAAAGGACTGTTTCTTAATTATGTTTGGCAGCTTATAATCTCAATGACTGCAGCTGCAGTCCTACAGTCATCTTGTTAAATATAACATACTTATATATCTTGAACTATCTAAATTATTATTGCTTAATTGTTAACTGCTTTTTACTGCAATTAAAAGAAGAGAGGTGAGGTGAGAGGGTGCTTATGAATGTTATGTTGCTTGTTTCCTCAAAGCTGGTTGTTGTATTGTGGAATGATGAGAATCATGTACATGTATAATTTGATTCAAGATTTTAATAAATGAATTCCATGCGTTTTAAAATTGTACTTCTACAATCTTCAGAAGCAATTTTCTGCATGCTTCTCTACATATTGTATATGTGAGTGATAATGAAACACAAAATTTTAAAATGTTTTAAATCATTCCAATTCATGCTTTCAAAATCAGTAGGTATGATTATAAATTTCTATACGCATTTCCTCTTCATGGTTTTATTTCATTTTAAGAACTAGCAAACTTTTTTTTTTGATACAATCATGAAGCATTTAATTTTTTACCTATTTCTAATTTAATCTGAGTTTTAGATTATATTAATACTTTAACCCCCTGCCATTAATGGTTTGGCTCTAAAATCCTAAAGTTCCCCCATAGGGCCACAGCAAAATGGTATTTTTCTGATAAGAATTTCAAACTGACCTACCCATTTTGTATCTTGACTTTTTTTTTTTTTTTTTTCAATATACGAAGGTAATCAACTTTGTAGTGTGGCACTAGCAGTAGTGGTCAGAAAGTCATCTTTGTTACATTACCCAATCTATGGCTTTTATTTGGGCTAGTCAGGGCATTGTACTGCCTTGCATCTGATAGTTATAACATCACAAAATGTGCATAGTATTAAAAATTTAAGCAAATGCAAGGCACATGCAGTGATAACACTTTAGTGGGGGGAAAATCCATCAGTGGCAGTCAATGATTGTGAACTGTTTACTGCATATGATCCAAACATTATGGATGAAAGTGTAGTACATCAGTGCACTCATTCTTACTCTGATCGGTGAATACATGACCTTCACCATCAATTCAAATGGGATGTTTTTTATCTTCCCTCATACAGTCCAGACATGGCTCCCTTGGATTTTCATTTGTTCATTCTTCTAAAAAATTGTATTGGGGGGTAGCATTTTGGTGGCAATGGGGATTTTAAAAATGCTGTGAAAGATTGGTTGAAATTGCAGCCAGCAACATTTTATACAGGAATTTGTAAGTTGAAGTGCTTGGATTTACATAGGGATTATTTAAAAAAATAATTATACTTTTCATATGTAAACAAAAAATTTTTACATTCTTACATGCTTTTTTATTTACTGCCAAACAGAGGTTACTTTTCAAATTATCTTCATATATACTTTCGTAATTATTTGGATACAGACGCATGTCTTAAAAGCATGTCTGCCTACCTTGAAATGAAAAACTTATAGTTCTTGTGCCAGAAACATGGATTTTTTTTTTGGAAGATTTTGATGGTGCACGAAGTCACTATTTCAAAAGAATTTCAGAATGATTTAAATTCATTTTATAATGTATAATTCAGGCTTCTCAACTATATAATGCTGTTCTGACATAAAATATATGAATACTTAATTAGATTTTCTGTATTTTATATTATTCAGTTAATTCCATTTTAAAATTTTGTTACACTTTCATAATGAGAATATGAATAAGGATGGAAAGCTTTTATTGTCAAAGTACTTTTAAATAAAATGAAAATAAAATTAATAATTAATGTACATACTCCTGGGCAGATAAACATGCTAATGGACTATATATCAATGTAAAATAAGAGTTAAATACAAATATTAACTGATTAAGCATTGGTAGAATTTTTATATAAAGTTCACCGAATGTCAAGAATATATTAACACAATTCAGACTAAAACAATTTAATTCAAACAAAAAGAAAAATTATGCAGAAACCACTATCAGGTGGAGAAACGACACTTACAGACTTCCTTAATCCAATAAATTACATTTATTAGTAAAAAGCATTTTCCTAAGTAAAGGTTAAAAATCAGAAATGGGAAGATTCATTGATCTACTAAGAGACATGAAAAACTGAAAAAGAGTTGGCAACTATGTTAAAGGCATCATGATAAATATTCTTGATGTATGTATACAGCTTGGCTACTGAATTAATACTAAGGAAATATCAGATAATATTGATCCCAACACATTCATGCAAAAAATACATATAATGCTCCCAATATCTTCTAAAGCAGTAGATTTTATTCAAAGCAAACTCTGGACCATATTGTTTTACTAAGTAGATACTAAAATTAAATGTATATTTCGCTAGAAGTAAAAAATGGAAAGGTCCAGTTTTCTGTAGAATTAATGCCACAGTAAACCACCTGCACTGAACAAATAGCTGGTCTAAGAACTTGGATTTTCTAAAAAAAATTAATGAAAAAAAACCCCACTTAATGCAATCAATCATTCCATTAACTAATTAAGTATATTGATTAAAATGCTCTAAGGAAATGTAGTGAACAACAGGAACAGTTATAATTCATCTGTTGATAGGCACTAATTTGAAAAAGATATTAAAAGCCATATTAGAGGATAAAATGGATACTATAATAAAAGTTAAAAAATGAATTACTTAAATTTTTATATAATGCCTAAATATTTATTTATTTTTAACCCTCATCCTCCAAAAAGAGTGAAAATGTTTAAATATGACTTGATTGTCTTCATCTTGCTATGTAATGTGTGATAGCTGACAATACATTTATCAAGTTTTCAGGAGACTTCAAAGCTTTGTTTCATGCAGGATCAGCATCAAACAATACTTCCTTAGCATACTCAGTATGAGAGAAACTCAAATGAGCTGCATATGAAGCTCCTTTTGTAATTTCTGATCCAATTACAGGTTTAAAATTAGATCAGAGAATCTAAGAAAGAAAGCTTTTCCACGTAGCATAAAGGAATGCATCATTTCTTACTGTGTTGATTCTATTTTTACTTCCTTGTACGAAGTAAAAAGGAAGTATTGTAATCGTGAAAAGTTTCAGGCAGCATATTTCAACGAAAATATTCATTTTGACTGCTATCGAATGTAATTTAACGATGTTTTTTGCGTGATATCTGTACGTACGGACGAATAAAGTACGCTTTTCCTCCAAAAAATTATAAAATGCTTTAAAATTAATTCTGAAGAATTTTTCGTGGCGTCTGTACGAACGTATGTACGTACGTACGTATCTCGCATAACTCAAAAACTAGTAGCCTCAGAAACGTTGAAATTTTGTATATAGGATGCTATAACATGTAGATGTGCACCTTGTATTTTGGTTGCAATCGGCCGCACAAACGGATATAAATATATTTATATATATCCACTCTGTTATCCGGCTCGGTGATCTCAGTTTCTTTACTCTTATATGTTTTAAATTGTAATTTTTTGCTTTAAAAATGATTGAATTATGTTGTTTTTATCTTTCGGTTAAGGATTTTGCTTTAGTAAATCTGTGTGCATATTTTTAGAATTTCAGCAATTTTAAAGTTGTTTTGCCGCTAAGCTTTTTTAATGGCGGCCATTGATTTTACATTTGAACAGGAGACTAGTGGATTTGTTGCCAATCTAGATCCAATCATTTAGCCTTTAGTAAATCCTTAAAAATATTCTGCAATATTTATAATATCATGCAAATTTATCTCTGAGTTGCATTGTTTGAATAGAACATGTGGCATGTTTTATTTGAATAGAATATGGCATTAGATAATTCTATTCTTTAAATGATATAAATTTTGTGCATTAGGAGTTTATATGAACGAAATATTAAGTTAACTGCTAAAATATTGGATTATATAACAGTTAATTAGTTTCATTATAAAATTATTGTTAAGTTAACTGTTATATAATTATTAATACTGTTAAGTGAATCTAGCACCTGTCGCTATGGTAAACAAATACTAGAGTGAATTTTAAAGAATGCATTTATTCTATTGTGGTTTATACGCTGTCGGCGAAGTAGATTTAATTCAATCCAATAAGTTTAAATGAAATGCAAGAAAAAATGCGTATAATTTAATATTCCAATACAAGGAAGTCATGTGGTGTACACATCAGATTTTTTCATTAAAATTTTAGGTGACAAAAAGAGCAATTTTACTATTTATTAGATTCAGATATATCTAATAAATCTTACTAACAAAATATAATAATCCATAAAACTAAAGTATAATTCAAAATGAAAAGATATTTATTATTTCATTAAATTTTTTTTTTAATATACTGCACAATGTCTCTTTAATTTAACAACTATGTTATTAATTTTAGTAGATTTAAAAGAAACTCACAGCTACAAATTAATGACAACAAATTATGTAGTTAAAATATGCTAATTATTTATCAGTCACTTTATAACTTCCATGATCTCAAAATAACCTGGAATGACTTGTCCTTACACTTAACAATTGATCATAGAATATATGTACAAAGATTCGTGAGTTATCGCCAGGCAATGTTTAACTGATTCTGCACAAGATATGACTCAAGGTAATATCTAATATAAAACTTTATTAGCCAAAACTTGTGGGTAGTACAAATAAAATGGAAACAAACTGAACTATACGATTTCACATCAACTTAAAATAATAGCTCATTAATATACTAAAGTTAGTATGTGATGAAAACAGCAAAGTCTACATTGATCTACACCACATTTTGAGTTTGGACATAAACTTTCTAACACTCATCAAGAACAGCAAAATTTTGGTGTCTCTAATTCCTACATTGTTAGTACTTTCTGCAATAAGACAGCATTAAATACCAATAAGCACACCAATGAGTTCTCTTTTAAGATTAGATCCTTGTTTTAAACTATGCTACTATCTGTAAAGTTTGAATAAAACTTTGGTATCATGAGTGAGTATCATGATTAAATGGGGAAAATAGCAAAGAAATTATTGTAAAGCAATCTGCTAGTAAAACTTAAATTATAAATGTTACAACCCAAATTGGAAAATATCGGCACACTCATTTACACTAGTGATTTAGATTAAACAGGATTTTCTAGCATGTGTGTTTGATATTCCATACACATAAACATAATTTTTTAAACAATTTTAATCCACACGACTGGGCACCAAAAATGGTTATCAAATTACATAGCAGATTTTCCTGAAGATGTAATTCAGAAACTAATCATAATAAACGCTTTAATGTTGGTGGAAATTTTGGAAATAAATTGCTTAGACCAAGGCTTTTATGAAAAAATAAAATTGTTAAAAAAAGTGTCTTTGTACTTATGTAATATCAAAATGGTACTTATTTAAAAAACATGCCTCATGCTAAAGTATGAAAAAGGAATTAGTGATATTTTTCAAAAGCTAGATAGAAACACATATTATCCTCAATTACATAAATTGCTGAAATAATTCACTTAACAACTAAACTGTTAAACACCAGAGCTGATATCAGACGTTGAAGTTATATTAAGAATTTATAGCAAAATATATTTATTGTTGAGAGGGAAAAAATCTCACAAATCAAGGTATGCCTGCATATAAGTTAATTACACTTACCAGGCCAGTCTCTAAATGAAAGTCCTTTTTTATCCCAAAAATCTTCTTCCTTTATCTGTAAGCGCTTCAGAACATGAACAGGAAAAAATCGCTGAAGAACAGCAGTGGCAACATGAAGAGTAGGCTGTAAAATTATACCCAGTTATTAAAAAGTTTTCATCTGCAATGCAGGATTAAAATGTATTACTAATATATATTGAACACAGGTAACTAAATAGAGGGTGATCATAAGCTATTTGGACAAAAGGAATGGTTTACTATGTACAGACACACGACAGTACATATGATTACATAATAATGATTATACAGACACACAACAGTACATGATTATAAAATAGTGAAACCCACATTTACCATCTTTTATAAATGTTTGATGTCACTATCTTTCATTACTTTGCAGATATCCAATTGATAAAACAATTTTTGCAACATATTTGTCAGCATGTTTACCTTGATTAAACTAAGTGCAGTGATGATTTGCTATTTTAGTTTGGGAATATATTTTAAAAGTGGTGTATTGAAAACCTGATTTTAAATAAAACTCCATATCTCAAAATTTAGGGGTGAGCAGCAACATTATATATCTTAATCATTACAAGGATAAAAAAAGAAAGACAAATATGAACAGCTGCAAACTATATCTCACTCAGATATGGACCTGAAACACTAGTGTCATCTACCTGCAAAATTTGGAGACAATACTATGAATATGCCAATAACATAGTATATTACAATTAATATTTCATAAATTATTCAGTTATGTAATTACCCAATCAATTTGTGTCCACCCTGTATATTTGAACTGTTCTACTATGATTGAATTCTCACACTTCATTCTCCTAATTCTGTTAATTTCTTCATTTACAAATGTAAAGTAGTTAATTTATTGCCATTCAAGACATTCATATTAGAATGAATTTAAGACAAATTCAAAAAAAGCTTGATTATACAGGGAGTTTGGAAATTGCTGAGTTCCAGATACATGAGAATTCCCGATAACTGAGCCTATAAACAATTAAATTCATGTTAAAAAGGCCAATGGGGAAAATTTCCATTCTAAAAGTATAAAAGCAATCATTTTATTTGTTACCAAATGCATAGTATTAAAAGCCTACATTTAAAATTACATAAGGTTTTCCTTTTGGGTGGGACGCATTACAATCATAAAGTCAACATATTTCGTAGGCATTAAACATGAAAGTAAAATCTCTTAAATATCAAAATAATCTGATTCAATTATGAAATGCTGCTCAACATGGAAGTTGATAGACATGTCACCATTTATTCCAGCAGAAGTTTAAATGAACAGGTAGTTCTTTATTTAGTTAAATAATAAGTAGGTACAAATTATGTATGTAGCATATAAAAAATTTTAACTGCATATCATAATTTTTCCATAATTTACCCATTATTTATCAGTTTTCAAAATTGTGTATTGTGGCTTTTTTGATGCCCAGATATTACAACTTTGAAAATATTCCACTTCGTGCGGCCCTTAATATTAACCATTTTTTCAAATGAGAGGAAAAAATAAACTTCCATTATTCTTTACGAAAATTAAACCGGCTCATGGAGAATTAACCGAATTGACATTAAACCAAAAAGAACTTCTTATGATTATGTTGTAATGTCATGCTTATCCATTATTTGTGCAAAATCACACTGTTTGGTGATAATCTGCATGCATTAATAGTATTACGACTCTATAATGGCATTACAAATCTCTCATTTACTAAACTTTTGAGGCATAATCATTCTAAAAATTTCTATAATATTCTGGTTAGCTGAATGCTGGATAGTCAGGCTTATACTTTCTTTGGAAACCAATCTATCTTCCAAATATTTTTTAAAAATGCACACAAAATTACCAAGTGTACAAAATGTGCTTAGATGTTCAACTTACCAGAATGTGCCCAGAATTACAAAGAGAACAATTTGATGAAATCCAATATAAAATAAACAGGCATCAATGCCAGTCATATTCATTCAGAAGATGGAACAAACCATTAGATGCACTATTAAACAGCTTTCCTTTAAAACCATTTTTCACATCGGATTTACAAACAAAAGTATAAATTTAAGAGAAGTCTAGCAGAACTAAAAAACATTAAAATTAAAGTGATCAACAGAATCACCTTTCTTGGCTATAAAGTTTGTTTTTCACAAATACTACAAAACAATGTGTAGGCACCCAATGCTACACAATACCATCAGTTAGAAATTGTCTGCAATTATGACTTCTTAAGAGTCATAAAACCTATTTTTTAAATAAAATTTTATATCCAAAAACTATGAAAAAATTCCCATTTTAGTAAAATGCAGCGAGTTTGCTCAGAAAAGTGGCTCTGAGATATCCACATTTGAAAATAATCCAAATTTCAGATTAGATAAACACTGATACTGAACACAACCTCTTTTAACATAATTACTTCCAATGAAGTCACAAATGAGCTGGAATAATGGGGTCATTTTAGAAAGAATTCATTGTTAAACTGAAATTATCTTCAAAATTTCCAAACTTTAATACTAGGGGAGAAAATAATAACAAATAAAATAAATATATAAATAAGTATCTGGAACTTTTCTAGAAGGACATAAAATAAAAAAAAATATACCTGAAGATCAGAGGAGGTTAATTTAACTTTTGATCTCACATTTACACTTAGACCAGTCTGAAGTTCCTTTTTTCTCCTTCAAAAGAAAGAGGGAAAAAAGCCCATTAAAAATATATATAAGGTTTTAAAGACATATTTAAAAAAATTAGGAATACACTGGATTTTCAAAACTATGAAGATTTGCAAAGCTGCAATGTGATGAAGAAAATAACAGTACTGTTTGCTTTATATAGTTTGCAAAGGAATTCTGTTAGCATATTTTGTAAAATAATTTTAATGGTAAATATTATACCCAGTAGAATAAAAGGCAATACTAGAAATCTAAAAAAAACACCAGACACAATTAAATAAATGATGATTACCACTCAGTTCCATCACACATTTTAATTATTCATTATAATTTCAAAATTAATGAATAAAATAAATCATTAGATAAATCCAATATTGTTTGTTTGACTTTGGAAATAACTTTACTATTTCTTTTTAATTCTACCATAAACTTCCACTAATGCAAAATGCAAAATTAAATTCTTAAAAATATGAAGTTTACCTTTTATACCTGATAGAATTATTAGCATATTTCCTGGCATATTTTCCCTCCTTTTTTTCCCCTAATTTTATCATCCAAAAATCATGAGGGAAAAATCAAAAGAATAATTTAATTTCCAAAGAATGTGTTTACAATTAAAAACATAACAAATGAAAAGCAGTCATGGATAAACTACAAATAACTATCTCAAATTTATTTCTTTAAAAGAAACCCAAATTACAATAAAAATACATAGTAATATTAATGTTACAATATTTAATATGATTTCTTTTTCTCTGTAATTTGAATCTCGCCTGTTCTTTTTATTTTCTCTGCTACTCTTTATGTCTCAAATCATCTATATATAATTAGAGAAAGTGAATATGCAGCTGACTCAGAGAAACTGTAGACTGAATATCAGTTTGTGTTTGCTTTGGTATAATGTGTCGGTTCTTGTATTAGGTTGGCATAAAGTTCAACAGTAAGAAGGGAAAGGTTTAGCATGACCTACACAGGTAATGTGGATGTCTTTGTTAGTAAGAAGAAAACAATCACCACATGGAAAAACCCATTTTAAAATTTAGTGGAGCTCATTAAATGAGTGCATTGTAGAAGGGAAAAATTATGTGAATATTTTAACATTTTAGAACTTGCCACTAAAAAAGCTAGAGGGGAAATACATGAGGAAATATGGTACACAGGACACACAAGAATAAGTAAATAAATAATAATAAAAAAAAAATACTTAGATGTTTTTCTGCACTGACAACTATCTTATTTGTATTTTCATAATTACCTACTAAATATAAAATTAAAATTTGTTTTTATATATTCTAAAATTAAGGCTGAACAATGAGTACATAAAAATGTTAAAAATACTACCTTTTAATTAACTACCAATAAAAGCAACTACTGTCAACTGAAAATGCTGCACCATACTATTTTGGTCACATGAATCTGAACATAGAAACATCTTTCTTGCAGATGTATACAAAGCACACTTCTTTTTTGCTAGGATTATATTATCCTAATTTGTAACTAAATGACGAAAGATAATTCAATAAACATATTTTTCAAAATAAGCCACGTTCATTGGATTATCATTAACTGAAAATTCTGCTTTGAAATTTGCTTAAATGAGCTTTAAATGCATAAAAAGGACAGGAAAAATACAGTGCGAAGTTTGAAATCCGGATATCCAATATCTGGATCTCCTGACCACCACCATTATTTTTTTAGAAACGTTTGGCAAAAAGGGAGAAACAGATTCCAAAAGTAGCAAATGCTTAAAGCATTACGCATATGCTACTTTTGGAATCCAAGCATTTCTCTTAGATTTGCAGTACATATTTTTTTTCATATTAAAGCATGTGGAGGGTCCTGATTCTTTATTTCCCTTTCAGTACTAAATAAAATACCACATCATTGAACAAACACAATGAATTATTAGCATAAATCTGTATGATCAATACTTTGGCTCTGTAGCCGTCTTATTCCTGGACACACATGTAAAATCAAAATATTATGTCAAAGTTTATTGTTGATTTTATGCTTCTGAATGTCATTTTATACTTATGCCAACTTGGCAAATATTTTTTTGTTAGTTTTTGCTTCCATCACCATATGACTATCAACTCACAGCAGCTTCAAAAATTGCTTACACAGCAATGTATAAGACAATTTTTATTTTAAATCTGTAGTATGTTTCCAAAACCAGAAAATATTGCTACCATTAATGAAAAAAGGTGACAGACAAATTTTCAAGAATGAAACAATTTCAATTGATAATTTAGTAAGAATTCTCAACATGATAATTACAGGACTTTTCAACTAAATGAGATATTATGTCTGTCTATAAAATTAAAGAAAGAGAGAGTATTAGAAAAAAAAAAAAAAAAAAAAAAAAAAAAAAGAAACAACTAACACAATTACATTGAAAAGAAATATTTCATAATGCAAATAAATAAATACAAGCATACTTTTCTTTGTAAATTTTAATTCCTTAAGGTCATCAATGCCTCATTATTTCATAAACAACAATTTCAGATTTTTAATTTTATAATTTCTACATATTTCTTATTAGATATAAACTGGTGATTTAAAATCTGGAATATTCCCAAATACAGAATCTCCAAAGTCCCGATGGGTCCAGATTTCAAACTTTGTATTTTATCATTTGGAATTAGAAAAAGAAAGTTGCTAAAAATAATATATGCATATATTAGGAAATTATCATTAGATGTATGGAAATTCCCAGATTTTGACTACATCAAAAACACATTTTTCCATGAATTTTATTTATTATTCATGCCTTTTTTATGAGTTTTATTGCTACAGATAATGTAAGAATAAAACCTGTCTACCTATCTACTTGATCCCTAAGAGCTGCTAATAGATCTTGAGCTTCCTTTTCTACTTCCTTATATACCCCCTCTTTGCACAATGTTGCAGAAAAGGGATGAAAGCACTGAGCTATAAATTCTCTGAAAAAAAAAAAAAAAAAAAAAAAAAAAAAAATAGCAGTGTAATATTTCAGGTCAAAAACATATAAAAAATTAAATATATTAATTTGACGTTTAGTTTAAAAATTATATATGGTCAATAATATCATAATACTAATTTGAAACTTCTAAAATCCACAGTTTTCCATGGAGACACAATTTTGATTAAACATTTAACTCATTAGTTTAAAAAGTAGAACTGAAACAATATATATACATAAGTAAATAAATAAAACTTTTTAATTACCTGAATATCTGTTGAGGAAGTAAAATAATTCGCTCTACTTCTTCTTTGAATGCATTTAATTCTTCAGTTTCAAGCTTAGCTTCAAATGCAGCTAAAGCCTGTTCTGGATGAATCTAAAATCAAGAAATTTCCTCTAACATACAATTTCTTCTAAAATTCCCATCTTTAATGCTTTTCAATTAAATATATAAACACAATTATCAAGAAAATTACACTGAATACAAAACAGCATATAGCTTCAAAAACAAGAAACAAAAAAATTTTTTTTGATTAACTTATTCAAAACGTAATGGACACAATCAAAAGCAAACTCCAAAATGATTGAATATGCTCAAGAGGACAATAATATAAAAGAATATTTTTTTAAACACTCAATTAACAGGTTAAACTATAAATCTTATTCAAAGGCACACAAGAGTACACATAACTGTATCTGTAAAAGAGAAAGGGCTAACTACAACCAACCCCAAATACAGCATAAAATTGAAATTCAATCAGTTAATTGATTTCAAGTTCTGTTCTATACACGTATATTATACCCTTCGTGGAAACAATATGACATTCTAAATTTTCATTAAATAAATAAATACAGATCTATTTAAAGGTAAAATTCATAATTGGATTAAATGATTACATTCTTTGCACCAGCATGTTTCTGATTCCTGCTCTGCATAATGAGATAACTTAATATAACTTAAAAAAATTATTATACTGTGAAATTATGAAATATCCACTACAAAGTTTTTTAGATACTTTCCCTCACAATTTCATTCTACTTGGTTAATAGAAACCACATTTGCAAATTTTCCCTTTGTCTGATAATCATACCAATGCATTTTAGGAGATAGCTAAAGTTATCTTTTCATAGATAAAAATAATAATAGTTCATGAAATAATCAATAATTATCACCCATTTTCATTGGAATAAATAAATGTGAAACCTCATCATTAATATTCAATCCAATTTGATCAATATATTTCTGAAATACAAACATAAAATACAGTTTCACCTAAAGCATGCTTCTCTATGAATTTCCATAATTCAGGATCTCATTTCAGTGTTTTAAATTTTACAGACTTTAACGGCACCAAATTATCACTTGGAAGAACTTTTGAGTCACCCAGAGGGCATAGTGATTATGAGAGCTTACTGTGATACTGAAGGGCATGGGTTCAAATCCCAGAAAAGGGGCATAGACTTTTGTAAATGTATAGTGTCTGTGCGGCACCAGGCCACTATAAATATGCAGTGAGCCGGAAGGCCTCTCGAGAGGTTGATTGTAGGGGAAGAGGGGTGGAGCAAAGTCATACTGTTACCTGTATGGAGTTCAGGCTCTTGGCAACGACAGGTGCAATTTTGCTGTCCTTGCTATGATGAATTTCAGAGGCTTGTCCTGATGTTACTGTCAGACAAGTGAGATAAGTCACAACAACACAACTTTTGACGTGAACAGTTGTTACCCATTTAGAAAAATGACAGATATCAGCCTTCTAAGAAAATTTAAGGTCTGGAATCTTTATTAGAAAAGCGACGCTTTCTGATATTTTATTGTGGCAGGGGATTAAGAATTTAAGTTTTCTAGCTCTAAACAAGGAAATCTAAATCTAACCATCTACATTGATTTATAAAATATCTTCCATTATGCTGTATGATAAGCTTCTTACATATCCAGCCATAATTTTTCAATTTTCTGATGCAACTTTTATCAGCCGAAGAAGACCATTCTTAGCTTTAAGTTAACATACATTTCCTCATTTCCAAAATCAGATATTTTCTCTATACTTCAGCAATATTTAAAAAAATAACTCAGCAAATTTTTTATAATGTTTTAATGATAACTTTTGCTTTCAGTACAAATAATACTCATATTTTTTAGTCCTGTTTATAAGTCATCCTTTAAAATCCACCAGTAAAACATATATGATGGTCTACAAGTTTTTTTAACTCATTTAAACACATACTCAGTTGGAAAAAACAAAATCAAAGAATATATTTTAATCTGAAATAATTTTGAACATTTTTCATAAATGGACATTAATAATTACAAACAAACTTTTTTTAATAAACTTTGAATAAACTTTTAAAGTCAAATATGAAGGAAACCAATGCAAGTCCCTTGTATCACTATATTTGATAAAATTAAATGCGACTGAGTAATGTTATTCCAGTATCAATTATTTCCTTTTAATTTAATTCAATGAATTGGTACTTTTCTTCTTTTCAGCTTCTACTTGTAATGTAATATAAGTTCACAATCTTTCCAGTCTCATTTATACTGGTATAACATTAAAGATATGGAAAATTAAAAACATTTTTTTTTTGAAAAATAAGAATATATATTTTATTTCTATATTATTTGAATATTAATGCTATGAAAAATAACAAGATATGCAATAATAACTATTGTAACATATTTGTGTTACTATGCTACCAACATAATTCCACTAAGAAATGTAAATTACCACAGACAATTATCTGTAGATGGTGCGCACGCTTAAAAATGTTTTTCAGTTATTCTGTAAGTTTTGACTACTAAAGTTTTGCTGTTCATTCAAAAATGGCGAGAGTTCTTTAAACTTCATTACAGACGTATATGTTATATCTAAAAAAATTTGTTTTTAATGTTTTTTTTAATACTTTTAACTTTGCTGCAAGGTGCCGGAAAAAAATTAACAAAAAAAAAAAAAAAAAAAAAAAAAAAAAAAAAACCAATATCAAATAATTCAAAACATTCAAAATCTAATTCATAATATTCATATATCATATCGACATTCTTATAAACATTCGTATAGTAAATCTATCAATCAATCGTATATCATATCTATCAATCAATCGTATAGTGGTAGAACAATCTAACTTTTAGGTTTGCGTTGTGAGTAACCTATGCCAAGGAAAAATCAATAACCCAAAATTCAATTAAATTCCAGGTTTCTTAAAAGCTTCCCGGCTCAAACAAATGGAGGGGCATGACAGACCACAGAAACTACACTAAATTAAACAAATGAAACATAAAATACATATCAAACACATTTATTAATTTCTAGAATATTCAAACATATGATAACTAGGTAAACTGATCAGTCCCCTACAAATTAACCTTAAGAGGTAAATTAACATATATATCATTTTAAATCTTATACTCAAGTTAGGTGTACTAAGTTTTTTTTTTTAACATTACATAACTCACAATTTAGGCAGTTGTACCACACGTATATTAATATAGTATCATTACTTGGCTACAATTTAAATACAAAAGACAGAAAAAAAAATTCACTCACAGGGTGAAGTTCATACATTCAACTCCTATGCCATCATCGACTGATTAATATGGAGTGCTGATAGTTCAACAGGTCGTCCTAATCATTGCGATGACCATTCGAAGAGATCGAGAATGCCATCATCGACGGATTAATATGGAGTTTTAGAGAGTTCAACAGATCGTCCTACTCATTTTATTCACCATTCGAAGAGATCGAGAATGCCATCATTGACGGATTAATACGGAGTTTTAGATAGTTCAACAGCTAGTCCAACTGCTTTTAAATCAGGAACGCTAACGCTACAACAAAATCTGTATTAAGGTAACCTCGAGAATGTCAAATTAAAGTTCTTGGGAATAATATAACGAAGCAAGCAGCAAAGCTATATTTTGCATAAGCACTTAGTCCCAACTCGAGCAAAATTCTCATCAGCTGAAAGCCGACAGAAATTCAAGACTGCTGCCCGCTGGTACACGGCATTCGCGAGAGCAAGACCCGCAAAGGGGTCAAGCCCCCACCACTTGTTTTCTTCTTACTCTTAGCTTGAAAGAATCAGGAAACAGAATCAGAATGAACTCTATCCTGGTGCAAGCACCCAGGAAATCTCGGTTTCTTTGCCTCTGTGAGTTCAGAGGCTTTCAAAAAAAAAAAAAAAAAATCATAAAATTAAATCTTACCAATCCCGGAATTTTATGTTATCTAATTTGAGAAAATGACACACCCATGACGAATCAAACACCAGAAAATCTGACAATGAAATCCGAAAAACATCTGCACACATAACGTGAGAAAAAGAAGTAGACCCCCCAACTAACAAGGAAACTAGCTTTTATGAGCATCCAATTATCTAACTTAGTACACCTCCCACTGTCTTGAAGTAAGCAAAACTGCAAGCTTTACAAAGCGACAGGAAGAACAATTTCCGTTTCACACGCATTAGCTAAAAAGGACCCTACTGCCTCCATTGTTAGTAGAAAAAAAGCTATAACCAATAAACCAGATGTGTGTCCTCGCAACTGTCTCCCGCCTTTGTTACAATTCCTACTCAAGAATAACAAGTTAAATAACACCTTAAGAGTTTAAGAATACTTTTTTTCCTGATTAAAATACACATGAATACGGAAAAAAATATTAGAATAATAATGACTTAAAACATATTAATAATTGAAATTCGCGACATAACATATACAAGAATAAATATCTGGTGGTAGTCGCTGGGAACAGTTTTGTAAAAACAGTGTTTATGTAAAAACAAAAGAAAATACAGTACTTGTGAGTATAAGTTTTAATTAATACTGTGCCATTTTGTAATAAAATGTTGCATCTTATTTTTGAATTCAACTAAAAGAACGATAGTTTAAGCTTTTGGATTAATGTGTCAAAATATTGAATGTTTTTTTAAAATTTGAGCTCTTGTATTAGAGTGGCAAATTTATTACGTTGATATTAGAATATTTCTATTATGAAATTTGAGCTCTTGTATTAGAGTCGCAAATTTACTACGTTAATATTAGAATATTGCTATTATAAAATTTCAGCTTTTGTATTAAAGTCGCGAATCAAGAATTTTGTTTCGTGAATCAAGTTAGAGACTTGAATTCTTTTTTTATTTACTCTAGTATAATTTATTAAGAGCAATTGCAGATTTTTGTTTATCGGAAAGCACATACGTCTTATTGCATTAAGTGTTTTAGGTGGAAAAAAAATACGTTGTGTCTACTTGAATTTCTAATAAAAAAACGTTAGATTGAGCAAGTTGATTTGAATTTTTTAGTATTGTCTAAAAGCCTTTTAAAATGAATTTTGAAAATGCTGTCGAAGAGTTTTTCTATTTTCAAACATGTCATTTCTT